CCACAGCATTGGTTCTGGATTGACTAGCTCTCCAGAGAAAAAGAAGTTCAGAGCTGAGGGCAGCCGCTGCCAGGCACCACGCTAACTCGACGTAGCCCTGGGTGAGCAGCTGACCGGCAGCCACGCAAACCCCCGCCGTCAGTGCCACCAGAACCGGGACTTTCAGTCCGGAGCCGTTCTCCCTGATCAGCGCCAGGGACAGCTCAGATAAGATAAAACACATCAAGCAGGCAAATGCCAGGATGGCTAAACCTGCTGCCATCTTGAGCGGGTTGAATCGAGCCCAGGTGGCTCGGCAGGTGTCTCTGACGGAGGTGAGGTAGGCCTGCAGGGAGGCAGCCAGCTGTGGGGAGGGGGACCGACCCTCTCTAACCGTGGTGAGGTACTCAGAGGACAGGCGGGAGAATTCATCCTTCAGCTGAGACAGGCTCTCTGGTGGGATGTCTTTGGCCATGCCAGAGTAAGTCTCCAGGAAACGGTTGACCTTCAGAAATAGAAAGGTCACATGAGATGAAGTTAAATACACACAGTTACTGAACATGAATATGTGAAGTCTGGCATTAACAAGCGGTGCTAGACAGCTCCTAACTGAGCGGATTACTTGTTTTGCATTGATCCACAGTGCCTCCAGCTGGCTGAGACCTCCAACTACATCTTTGGTCTGCCCGTGAGAAGGGAATAAAGGCAGGAGAACCTGCCCCACATTGCTGTAGGGGATGGGAACTCCCAGCAGCAGGGCCAGGGTGGGCACCAGGTCTGTCTGGGGCACCACGTCCGGCTCACTCTGCAAACATGAGAAAATAAAAGCCCGCTGTGTTAATATTATGTGGTTAAAATGTTTGAATTATCTGTGATTTAAAGGGCTGCTCTCACATTTTAGAGGATACTGTGTGAAATGAACGGACATTTAACCCAGGGTTAGGTTCAGGAGTTAATAAAAGTGTGAGTGTAATAGGACATTGTGTCTAATAAACTCCCCTTTCCTTGTAGTACTGCTATTTCTGTGTACTTGCGTAACCCCTGATTTTTCCACAATGTATTATGTAATGTTCCAATTACACTGCAATTATGGAAATCAGCGCTGAAGTTCAGATTTCTAGTGCGAGATCCACTTTTATCCCTCAAAAGGCGAAGACCACCTGCCAGCATCAATTTGGCAGATTTGGGGAACTGCACAGCCAACCGTGAACAGAAAGGATCATGCTTGAAGGGTTTGATGTTTCATATTCACAATACAGCTAACACTCTTGTTGATTTGGCGTGATAAACACGATGTATATGGATATTTGCTGATAAAAGTAAAAAAGAAACATAAACACAGAAACAGATAGAAGCTAACAGTCATAGGATCCCCCCCCGGTTCCTTATCAGCTTATCTGTGGATGGAATATGTTATTTGTTATTTGACAGCATTTTATGTTCTTTCAAAAAGTCCAGGAGTCAGAAATGTCTCTGACAGTTATGAATGGAATATAATAAGTCTGCTCAGTAAGTGTTCAGCAATTTAAAAACAGCATTTATGGCTCACTCTGCATCTCATTTACATTTACTTAACTGATTACTGGCATTCAGCAGAGACAGCGCAGGAAATCTGACAGTCGGCAAAATCAGTTCAAACGAGCCATCACTGGAGTTTTTATATTCATTTATTCTTACTAATTCATAGAACTTTTCAAGGCTTTGGTTATTGATGGTTAATCAAGTCTTAATTAAGACTTTGCAAACCTGGTTATTAACCCTTTATTTCTTTGTCATTATATTATTTTATTCAGTTAAATAGTGGGTCAAAGCTGTAATTTATTTAGAATTTTTTTGTTGTTTTTACGTAGGCTGTGATTTTGTGATTTCCATACTGTATCAAAGTACATTTTACACTATGTTTCTACTGTTTCTATATTTGACATAAGCTAATTAGAGCAGTATAAAGGCTGCAGAAAGCGGGCTTACGTTTACATTTATTCATTTGGCAGATGCTTTTGTCCAAAGCAACGTACGAGTATTTGACCGCAAAACAAAATGTTCTCTTTTGTGTCCTTCCTTCGCACGATATCAATCATCTCATGTTAAAGCTGACTGTGAAAAAGGCAGATGCTCTACTGACCTGGGACGGCGGTGCGGGAAACAGAGGGGAAGGACTGTAGAGGAAGATAGCCGCATCCGTCTCCTTCTGACTTTCTCCGCCGTGATCTCCGGTGTCTGTCATCCCGTGATCTCCCATCACCACCAAGAGGGTGTCATTCTGCAGACGGTCCATCACGGACCTGGAGAAAATAGATGAATATGGTCAGAGGGGTTTCAAAGAAGAGATTAACTAGGATTCCTGCATTTATAATCTATGATTTTCTGAATTTCTGATTTTAATGTTGAATTATTAGCAGCAGTGTGCATTCTGCAGTCATTGTTAGCATCTATTTCCTTCTATAATTTGGACTAATAGGTTGACATGACGTTTCTACAGTACTACAGGTGCACTGTGACACCACATGATGGTGATTGTGGGGGGGATGCTGTGAAACAAGCCCGCAGCAGCTGCACTATTGTCTGACCTGATGACTCCGTCCATCTGGGTGAGCTTGTCGGCCATGGCCGGGTGGTCGGGACCAAACCTGTGACCACAGTGATCCACTCCAAGGAAATGAGCAACCAGGACATCCCAGTCATCCCCCACCACTGTCAAAACCAACAGCAAGTGACAGACGGAGAGAGGTGAAGCGCGAGTACAATACCAGAGTACCCACTTGTAGAACTCTACTTTGCATACCATTAACAATATGTCAGTTGCGTTTTGATCATGGTACAGCTCAGTCATATTAAGTAAATACATACTAGTTGTGTAGAGGTGCTGGAGGATCCCATTGTCTACAGTGTGCAGATCTTTGACATTGAAAGAAGGGAAGGGCAAAGAGCGGTGGAACCTCTTAGGAAAAAGATTCTCCCAAGTGTCATCGCCCATGAACACCACTCGTTTGCCTGTGAGGAACACACACACACACTTAAAATGAACTAAATCAGACAATGCCATTAGTTTATTCCAACATATTTTCACCTTAGTTTTAATTCTGTAGTGTGTAAAGCATGATGTAGGCATTAGATGATTATTTTTCAGGGCCATCAACAGCAACTTCAAGGTCTAAGATTTACTTTATTAATCCCCAATGGTGAAATTACTCTTCAAAAGAAACTCTTATTCAATACTGTGATATATCAGATGTTTTACATTATAGTATTGGCACATTACCATGGTACATTTTCTTATCAGATTGCAACAAAAGTAGTAGATAAAACATGATAAAATTCCCTCTACGGTGGCCCAGTGTGCAAAGAAACATGATAAAGTGCCCTCTAGGGTGCCCTTCAAGTGGAGAAGCTGTGCACAAGTTTGTTTCTGCTCTTTTAAAAAAACTGTTTTAAAGGTAGTTTTCCTCTTCAGTCCTACAGATAATGTCACCTTTCCTGCGCAACATTGATAAAAGTGTGGGACTACTCACCCACTTGCCCAAACTGATGAATGAGGTTGTCCTCCAAGATGGCACTGGATGCAAAGTTATTACCCACATCCACAAAGGTAGGCAAGGAGCCGGTAGTGAAGCCCTTGATCCTCTGCATGGTGGTCGTAGGCGGGTCAGCACGGAAAGGGTACAGGCGGCTGTGGGAAGGCCTGAACGAGACCGTCTCCTCCAGCACGGGCAGCTTGTTCTCGTAAGGTCGCGGCGCCGTGTTGTTGGGGTCAAACCGGGCGAAGTCAATCTTAAGGGCGTCAATGATGAGGAGCACAGCCCTGCGGAACCGCGGCCGGGCGCGGCAGAAATCCCCAGGCTCCTCTCCGGGCTGCAGCACGTCCCCGCAGGTGCTGGTCCTGTTCACTTCCAGCCTCACCAGCAGGAATCCACCCACAAACAGGTAGATGCCCACAAAGTACACCGCACACACCCAAAGGAGCAGGGACAGCACCGGGAGCCCCTTCATCCTACACCTACACACACACACACACACACACACACACACACACACACACACACAGGTGACAGCAGCAAAGCTTATTAAAATAATGCCGGCACACTTGCTTCACACCAAAGGTAAAAAATAAAATAAAAAATAAAGAGTCAAGTCAAGGGCCAGCTGTCTGTGGGTAACACCTGCTACAAGAGACGCTAATGCTGGTAACTCGAGTTCCACTCAAACTAATAAAATGGCTCACTGTGCTCGGACGTGACAGGTAATACTAACTAGCTAACGTTAAGAGGAGGAGACGTTGTTAAGTTGACGCTGTTAGCCGCGGCTAGCTCGCCCCCGCTCTGTTCACTGACCTTGTAGCAGTCGGGGCTTTTCGTCCTCTCTCGGCCGGAGGGCGGACGTGAGTGTTTGCGTTCACAACACGGGGACAGGTGTCTCAGGTAAACAGAGAACGACGCGACACCACGTTCGCCTTCATTGGGACACCGGTACAATGAGATTAGAGGGCTGGTGGCGGCTAGGAACTTCAGCGTGCGTTCAACCCAGAGGAAGTATGCGGCGGACGTTTTTCTTTGTAACACCGTGTATCTGTTTATTTTGTGCCCTGAATTTGGACTTTCAGGAGTCGCATACCTTGCGCTCAGCCTGTGGGACAGACTCAAGCCGTTCATATTATTGTGTCCTGCAAGACAAAGTGAAGGGCTTACATAAAGTGTAGAAGAGGGAGGCGGGAGGAACTATAGTTAAAAAAAAGAAAAGAAAAAAGACCTGTCTGTCACTTCTCTAAAGCAGCTATCTGTTGTTACATGAATAAACAATAAATAAAAAAGAGCGTTTTGCCCTATTTTGGCTTTCATATTCTACCAGAAATAGTTTCTATAAATCCTATTAACCACATTTGGCATGTTTTGGGAAACAAACAAAACCTGCTCAATTCTTTGTTCCTCCCATCATGTCCCATGGAATGACCCCTGGCAATGGTTTGTACCAAACCCTCTTACAATCACAGTAGCCCATTAAATATATTTATTGACAGACATACTGTGTTAACCATCAGATTTTTTTTTTAATGGTAATTTAACATTGCTGACCCAAAACATGGAGGACAATTAACATCCAAATCATCCAAATATTACATTTGAAGTAGTCCAGGTGTCTTCATCTTTTTCTAACATAATCATATTTTTAAACAAGTGCTTCACAACTTCCCATTCCATGTCAGGTCTCTTTACTTTGTCTTAAAGACAGGCGTTTTATATTTGCATTATTTTTCATTAACCTGTAAGCATCAGTGAAGGCTATGAAATGACAAACTTTCTGTCTTTGCAGAGAACACTTAAATGTAATAAATATATCCCATAAGACATAAGAGGTGAACACAAACACGAAGAGGACACAAACATGTGTTCCTAGGGCTGACGTTGCATACTAACTAGTTATTTAGAGGCAATAGTTTCTGAGTCATTTTAAAACGGTACACCTCCTCACTTCTAAAACGAATACTGGATCAAGTTTTTCAGGGAGATAATGTTTTAATCCAACATGGGCCAAATTGTGAATTAACTACACTTTGGGAAACTTTCCAACATTCTGAGGAGTCCAGCCAGACGTCACATGAAGCAACTCCCAAGTCCCTGGTCCTGATGATGCTGAAGACAGTTGAAGGATTGTCACTGATGTCTGTCAGCCAAATCATAGCAGATGGTTCTGTGATTGCCACCCTAACACTAATGAACCCACAGAACCAGAATCGGTCATTTGGGACGGCGTGGAAAACAAAGAGAAAACACATTCGTATGTTTTACTTTGAAGTAAAGCTGTCAAATTCCAACCCTAACACCCAATTATATTTGGGTTTATGCAATAATACATACCTCAACAGATCTGATGCATAAAAGACATTTCAGAAGTAATGAATTATGATAATAAATCATGTGCTGACGGCACCCAGGGTTTATTTTTGCAACCACTGGCCACAGCGGCATCAAATTTCTCCAAGTCACTGGTAGTATATTTGGCTGAAAACTGGTGTTAATTTCCCCAATCTGACAATTACTGAGCATAAACAACAGTCAGACTAAAAATATATATATTTTTTTTCAAGGACTCCAAGGCAAAACAACCCAGAAGTATAGAAAGTTTTTCCTTCTGTCCTGTCAGTAGAAGGTCGGTGAACTCTGCTCACAAAGTGACGCCTTGGAGCTCCGACAACTGAAACATAAACTGCTTCCTCTTGGTTCTGTGTCATGTTACTGCTTTGAGTTCTTTCACCGAGCCCTCCGCTATTGAGACGCCGCCGACTGGTTCGCAGGCCCTTCGCTCATCTCGTCCAGCGCTTCCGGTGCCCCCTTTTGGCTCGTCTTCGCCAACGTACCGTAAATGGTCATAGCCTGAGTGTGGGAAAACAGAAAGTGAAGCCGGTGTATTCGTGACCGAAGAAAACAAAAAGATACTGTATCTGGGGGCTAATTCACATATCATTTCGAGAAGGAAATACCTGTGTGACCATCCCGCTGATGTCGCCGGAGTTAGAGGGCAGGAGGATGGTGTTGGACTCTTTGGCGAGGTTGGAGAAAGCAGACACGTACTGCTCGGCCACACTTAGCGAGGCTGCTGCATTTCCATTCTGTACAACGCACAATAGAAATGACCTGAATGAACTGAAAACTGTCTAACTTTCATAAATAAGACTATGATCACGGTCATCTCATTAAAAAGTAAAAAAAACTACTCTTCACCTGCTCAGTAAGAGCCTCCGACAGCATGCGGATAGCCTTAGATTTTGCCTCTGCTTTGGCCAAGACGGCCTGGGCCTCACCTGGAGGGAACACAGTCACAGATTAGTGATGTGTAATCATCTGAAATACATCGGTGATTCAAGTATTTTTCTTTACCTCAACTCAAAACCTAACTAAGAGCAGCAGATACGGGAGAAAACACCATCCCTGTAAGCACAGAAAACTACAGAGATAAAACAACTGAACTGGCTCTTTGAGTGCACCCACCAGCCGCTTTATTGATCTGCTCTGCTTTTTCACCCTCCGAGGCCAGAATCTGAGCTTGTTTACGACCCTCTGCCACATTAATGGCCGCTTCCCTGGTCCCTTCAGACTCCAGCACTGTGGCTCTCTTCTTGCGTTCAGCCTCCACCTACACAAGAGTGAATAAAAACATGCGTTAAAATTTTTTCCGGATTTATGCGTCTCTATAAAGATTGCCCAGAGCCTCACCAGTAAAGCACTGAATTTTACAGTGGCTTTTGTCTTCTTAAGACACTTAAAACAATGAGATCTCTCGGGCTATGTGTACCAAAATGAAATGTCTATGCCAGACCCGGAGGATTTAGGAATCTGCATTTGTTGCTGAAGGAATAAAAAAAGAGTTTTAAACCCCTTAATTACACTGATTTATTAACATAAGAATGAGGTAACCGTCCTAAGTACCTACAGGGATCTAAATCAATCCATATTCATTCTGTTCGCCCCACCTGCATCTGCATGGACTCTTTGACACGAGGTGGAACATGTATATCTTTGATTTCATAACGGAGGCAACGGATTCCCCACTCATCTGAAGCTTGGTTGATGGAGTGAACAATGTTGGAATTGAGAGACTCCCTTTCCTTAAAAAAAAAAAAAAAAGCAACATTTTAAACATCCAAAGTGCTTCCGACACCTTTCATTACAATCCTACAGAACAATGTGAGAGACAGAGCAGTAGTTTGTCTTTACCCTGAACACTTTGTCCAGTGTGAGTTTGCCCAGTTCTGAGCGCATAGTGGTCTGTGCCAACTGTGTGACGGCATACTCTGGATCCTCAACACCGTAACTGGCCTGGGAATGAACACAATTGGTAGAAATTAGGTTTGATAAGTGTGTAACAATGGGATGGAGCAGACAATCATTCCAGCATTTGAAGCGATTCTTAACAGCATACCTTAAAAGGGTCTAGGATCCTTAAGTAAAGTACTCCATCAATCTGTAGTGTTACATTATCTGTGAAAACAAGGTAGACCTGTTTATAATAATACTGTATAGCTGTTAACACAAGCTAAGCTGTATATTATTGGTCAACAATATTGGTTTCATTCATCCCTTACCTAGAGATACTGCAGACTGCTCTGGGACATCAATGACAATCTCCTTGAGACTTTGCACATAGCGAATACGGTCAAGTATGGGTATGAGGAAGTTTAAACCCTGAAAGAGAAAAAAAAAAAAAAAAGGTTATAGAACTTTTGATACTCCCTCACTGTAATATTCAGCACTAGCGCTCTTTGATCGGGAATCTTTTGAAAATAAAAGGGTATACCGGCTCTAAGATCCGGTGGAAGCGACCCATTCTCTCCACCACCCAGGCTTCCTGTTGGGGCACAAACAGGACCAACGTGTTCATGGGCAGGTTGGACGCCCATCGCTGCTGAGCTGGTGTGACCCACAACCTCGGCACGGTCCGCTGGGTTTGCTACAGAGACACAGAGTTACAACAACAGTGCATCAGACTGAATCCCGTATTTTAGAATCTAGCCTAAAACATGACATACACACCCTAAGATTATGTCACTTATAATTAAAGAAGATAGAGTTTCAATTAACCATTATTAGCATTTTTTAAATGTATTTATCAAAACAGTCAGGGCAAAAATCCCTTTCTAAGGGCCAGAGCTGGCCATCTGAAGATGGTACGTTCTGACCAACCAAACAGTCGGAAACCCAAATATATGAAACTGACAAGTAGAAAAGCAGAAATTTGACTCAGGAAGCAGCCAATATTTAACATTTTTGCTTCATAAATGACTTACGAGTACTGACACCAGCTCTAAAAGGAATAAAACACAACCTAAGATAAGGCAATAAATACAAAGCTTTCAAAAACACATTGAAATAAATACACAGAACCACTTTTAAATGTGTTGTTATGTAAAATATATAGCTTTAACTCCCTTTCTATATTGTACTGTTTCTTACTTCTGGTTCAGTTGATTTGCTCCATGTATTTTATTCTTTTAAACACACAGTATGTATCCTTGCATGAGTATATAATAAAGTAAACGGTCTTAAAGGTTTAACATAAGCTAACTGTGTGTAAGGAATGACTAATGATCCTGTCAGTCAGTGCTCAGCTACACTAATACCTCTGTTGGTAATGCAGTACGGACTCATAGAGACTAATATAAAGATGAAGAGTGACATTTGCACACATTATGAACACACGGATGTACTCTGAATGACACCCACTTCCCCAGCGGCGCAGGGCTGGGATTCTAAGGGGTTTCCTTTACCTGCAGCAGGGCCCCGCCGGTCCGACACAGCGTCCGTAGCATGTTTTAAAAACACCCCAAAGTGGCTGTATAGAGAAGATTCCGCTTAGTGAACTGGACTTGAACCAAACTCTTTACTCATGTGTGTGTGTGTGTGACCCTTGCCGATCAGGAAATGAACGTTACATCATTGGTGCAACGGTGAATAACTCCGCCAGTGCTGGCTACAAGAGCAAAAGGGCTATGGTTCCGCTAGCACAACATAGTAGTGGGCTATCTACAAATACTACCTTTTTTTTTTTTTTTTTTTTTTTAAATATATATATATATATATACTTCTTTTTTCACAGTAGACGTCTGCATTGAAGATAATTCAAAGCCAAAGCATTACAACCGCATTTCTTTAAATGTCACACACATGAGAGGGTGAAGGAGAAAATGATGATTTGTGCAGAAGTGACATACTAATAATACCTACAGGTCTCACAAACACAAACTCCGACGTAAGGAAAGACAGCAAACAGCATATAGTGACTAATGGATCTACAGCACCTATATAGCTTTGGACCAGCCACTGTTATTATAGAAGTTTGTGTCGTTTATCCATCCCCCTACATGGCTACATTAAAGGCTTGAATAAACGACTCACTTCAGACACAAGGGGGTGCTGTTGGTGTTGTTTCAGCTGGGAAGCTCCTCAGAAAAAAAACCACACACAGGCTACTCAGATTTACTTCATTCTAACTTCTTGTTGTTTATTGGAGCACATGGGGGTGTGAGCCTAGGTTTGTATAGGTGCAAAAAAAAAACCCACTAAGCTAAATGCTGTATGTCTTTGTATGGTTGATTATCAGGTGGGCTGCTTTTCTGTGAATTTTTTTTTGTGATGACACCTATTTTGACACTTAGTTACAAGTTTCAGTAATGCTACAGATAAAAAACTGGAATAAAACTAAATACATGAGGAAAATGCATTGATAAAACTGAGGATAAAAGACACCATAAACTGATAAACAAACATTTAGAAGCAGATACAATAGAAGTACTCATTTATATCCACGAAAAATACATTTTGTCTGAAAAAACAAATGTATGAATATAGGAAACTAGTTATATTAAAAATAACCCAAAATATTAGATATCTCTCGAAGTTTAACTCATAAAAAGTTACAGGTAGTTGGTCTGCTTAGAGTCTGTTTGCGTCACCTGTTTCTTCTTCCAACCTGTCCCTGTCAGCGATTGGTCGGATTTCTTTTAAACGGCCCCGCCCTCCAGCGGCGTACTGTATTCTGATTGGACACGCCGGACGCCACTAACAGGTGCCCCGAGCCCCGCCTATCCCCAGTCTCTTTCGGTGCCCTCAGGTTGTTGGTCAGTCTGAAAAGCTGTGATGAGAGTTTTAATAATGGCGTGGCCGTGGCGGGGGACTGCCGGTCTCTGCCCGAGTCCAGCATCAGAAAACCACCTGTAAACACCGACTTGGAGCTTACCGACGGTTTGAAAAGTAATTTAATGGGCGTTAAAATGACGCCGGACAGAGTAAATCTCCGCTAAGAGCCTGCTCTACAAACTGTGAAACTACTGGCTTGTCGCTGGAAGCGCTTTGCCATGTCGTTACTGTGTGTCAGAGGTAAGTTTCACGTTTGTTTTTACGGTCACAAACGACTTTCTGTGTTAGTTTTACACGTAAAACTTGAGTTTGTTCAATTCAATCAGATAAAGTCAAAGAAATCTTACAGAACAGGTTCTCTGGCAGCAGGCATCCTCCCTAGAAAAGTGGCTGGAATATTTGTCCTGTTGTGATTTTACGTTTTAAAAAACCGCACAAGAGTCTCCACAAGAATAATGAATAACAATAAGTATATTTTAGGTTGTTTTTCTAACCAGGATATGATATTTTACCTCCTGTTTTATTGGAGCCTTCCATAGGCGACCATACCAGCTGTTTCAACCACCGCTAAACTGTGGTGCATACTGACTTTGAGATATCACACAGAAACAGTAGCCATGAGTATGATTCAGGTTGGGATGATCCCAGTTCAGAATAAGAGTTATAGATTAGGAGACAAATACACAGATTTATAAATTGTGAATTTAGGGTCAATTAAGGGTTAGTGGTGGGTATTTTAATTTGATTGACACATATATTACTTTTTAATATATGATAATAATAAAAGCTTAATTTCTTTTAATAAAACTAATGCCAGTACCCTGGTGCAGGGCCCTCTTGGGACCTTCTAAAGGGACCCTCTTAAGGTTCCTTGGGGTGCACACTGTTGAATTCAGTGGATGACTAAATGGCTGAGCTTTTACTATCCCTTGAATGAACTGTTAACATAATAAACAAAAATAAAAATAAAACAAATAAATGATGCAAAAAACGTGCATGGGTCCAAATAGTAAATATATAATGATTGACTTTGTGTGTGTAGCATCTTTTAAATACAAGATTAAAATCTTCTTTACATGGACACATTTTGAGGCCAAAACAAAATTAAATCATGCTGGGGTGGGTTAACACGAAAAGGATGAGGAGGACAATCCTCGCCTGCACAAGCATCCTTTACAGCAGCAAAGCACATTATGTAATATCCTATTTTGTGACAACAAGACTGATGCCCAGCAACTGTGTCCAGTGCTGCCAAGAGGCGAAAAAAACGTCAGAAAATCACGCTACAAATTCAAAGCAGAGCTGCAGTCTTCGTTCCTTTTAACCACACACGTGTGCACATCTGTATTGATCTATAGTCCCTTGCCAAACTTCTTGTAACACAGTGTTTCATATAAAGTGATATTTTCATCATTTAAAAAGAGAGCTTTAATGAAAACACTTTTCTTCCTCTTTTTATTTTATGTTAATAGGATAATTTGTTTTTCTAAATAAGACTTGTTTTAAACATTTTCTGTAGTGTGTATCATAGGAAGATTTTCTTCGTGTAGTTAACTGAAGTGTGGGCAACAAATATCCATCCAGTTCTGTGATAAATGGAGTCAGGATATGCTGATAAAAAATACATGCCATTAAAATGCTGTAGCCCTTTTACCATGAAAATACTATTTAAAAGACAACAACATTTCCAGCTTTTAAAATGATTTAAATTATGCGCCCGGTTATCAAAGAAATGCCAGTATTAAGAATAACATAATAATAGTGTATTTATACCTGTCAGTCCCATCTCTGATATCTAGTACCCTTTCCTGTGGTTGTTCGATTACCATCTGTCTCCTTGGTGGCTGTCTGTCAAATTGATGGCCTTCTTCTCAGAACTGATGCGTGAAATATCATCAAGCATTTGGATCAAAACATGAACTTTCGTTGGTTAGAGGACTTGAGATCAGAACCAAGTCCAAACCACATGTTTGCAGCTTTTCTGGTCCCAAAGCCGGGAGAATATTCCTTCCTCTCGTTGTTTCTTCTCCTGTCATGCCAGTTGAAAGGACACATGGATTTTTTTTTAATGCACTTTGTCTGATGTAGATTAGCCTGACTGTTTTTGCTTTCTATTATATTATTGTTGTGAGTTTACCTGCAGATTACAAGTCAGTATTGTGTTGTGAATAAATAGTGCACTCCTTAAAGATATCCTGAAGACTTCTGAAAATCCCTGTATGTAAATCCCAGGTCGGATACATCCTGGTTTGTGTTGGTATTGTCACTTGGGTGTTGAAAGCTACAAATGTTGGTACAGTATACCTTTTGTACCTTGCATGTATGAATGCATTCACCATTTTGGATACAGTACTGTACACGTTTCTATCACAGACGCGGGTAACTCTGTTCAAATTTCCATCAGATAACTCCACTTGTAAATGTTTACATAATCGAGCAAACACTGTCTGTCATGATCTGAAGTTTCTTTAATGCCTGTTCAAATGTTATCCAAGTCACCGAAGAGTAATGACTGTCACGACCCTCATTGCAGAGCAGCAGTAGCATAAATCTATTCTAAAATTATCCTCCTTGTGTCTGCCCAAACTTTCTGCCTGAGTTTCTGTGAGATTAAACTGCTTAGCTTGCAGGATTTATTTTGATACCAGTATCAGAATTTCCTGCAATACTGCCCAAAATGTGGAATCTGGTATCGGTGGGTGCGCCTGCGTCATTTATCAGCCACTCAATGGGACACTGCTGGGAAGTAGCAGTGTCCCAATTACAGGGACATTTCTTTCCCCAGGATAGTGGAGTCATGACCCGCCCTACTCTGACACTGATAAAGGTTTTAACCTGAGCCAGGCCGTACAACAATGATAACAATCATACAGGCTCTACTGGTTAATTTAGATAGCCAGTTAGCTAGTAGCTGGGTAGCTAATAGATAGCTTGAAATTATATTTGCAAGTACTGTAAGAAGTGGCAAACTGCTACTCAGTTTACTTTTATGCAATTGTGCTATTATGGTGCATAAACATAAGCACCCGCTCCTTCATATGTGGCACAAAGATCACTGCAGATATTCCATAAAGGAAGGGCAATGTCAGGTCATGCTGTCACCGCTATCTTGTCACTAATAGAAACGGCTGTGATCAGTGTAACACAGCAACGTTTGCATGTGCGAGGAACATAAAATCAGTTTTAAACCTGTCTGCTAAAAAGAGTGAAAAATCAAGGTATTTTCCAGTAAAACAATGAGCCTCAGGAGTGAGCTGGGCATCAATACACCAAGCTGGGAAAGAGAAAGGCTCCTGGCAGGGAAAAGGTCACAGAGAGCCAAGTCCGTCTTGTCCCACTTGAGAAAGTTCAGCCCAATGTGCTCTGGTAATCAAGAGTTATTGGACTAAATGGGGCCTTTCACTATAGAGCTTGCACACTGTGCATGTATTGATTATGGCGAATGTAAGCTGGTAGGAACTACACAGCCCATAGATATCAGAGGAAGGGTTGCTGTGGTAAGGGGCAGTGTGATTAGCTGATGTTGTGACTCAACCCCCCGGTAGCTCAGCTTGACAGTGTTGCTTATTTATTGCTAGTCGAGATGCTTCATCTCCATGGCGATGTCTTTACACAACAGATAAGTGGTTGCCCTCACAAGTGGACATGTGGGGGGAGACTCCTGCTGTGGATCAGGGCAGGGCTGAGTGGACACATGGCTCACATGGTTGAACCCCAGGATGCCGCAGTATCGGAGGTGTACAGATGCTGTTTCAGACACGTGATTGCTTTTGTGACAGAAAATCTGGTATTTTGTGAGACCAGAGAGTGGTGACTGGGACAGGTTAGGTTACACACAGATTGTTCTTGTTTTGAAAAAGGGGTCGGGCTAAGTGAGACCTCATACACAGCTATCGGAGGGGAGCTTTTGAGGTAACAAATGGTCTTGGTCTTAAGAGACTCTTTAAGGTCTCTTTTGAGGGAAGTGGTTGTGGACAGAGTTAATGGCAATATTTCCTCTGTTGTCCATCATGCAGTGCTTCGATGGAGGGAAGCTAACAGACGATGATCTGCACGTCTGAACATACTGGAGGTTGTTGACCAGACTGTGCTGGAAGGTGTCAGGATGTGGGACATATAAGCATACACACATTATAATTGTTTGGCACCGGTAAAATGGCTCCATGCTACGCTTCCTACATTATTTTTTTACTGCCAGCTGAACAGTGTCCACACAGGATGTGGGAGCTTGTTTCATGCATCATCGCGCCTTTTGTACGCGGAGTCTTCTCTTGACATGCGGTCGACTTAGTTTTTCTCCTCAATTGAAAACAGTGATGTAGCAGTTCTTTGTCACGACACACACATTAAGAACGGTTACAATAAGCTACATCACTAGTTATCAGACCTGAACCAACACTTTCTGCCTGGAGTCTGCTTATTTGACTCTGCAGAAGAGTGAGTAGGCGAGGAGATTGCACAAGAAAATGATTTAATAAAGAATGAGAAACAGAGGCCCTGCAGGACTAAAAAACGACAGGACTAACAGGCAAAGTGGTTGAGCGTAGCGAGCAGCAGAGTAGTGGAATTATCGGGGAAAGAGGCAGAGAGAGCGCTTAGAGATTGAGGGAGTAATCCCCTGGCCATCTGTTGCTCTCTCTCCCTCTTCCACTGGCCCCACCTGATCAGATCCAACAGCCAGCACAAAGCGGAAGTACACCACAGCCTGTAGTAGATTTTGACGTAATTTCCTGTTTCTACTATCCTCCTTTCTGCCTGACCTTCCAACGATGATGTCCTTTTTATTTTGGAACAACCACACTTCTTTAAACGCCCTGACAACCGATTTTTTTTTAAAATCCTTCGTAAAAAAAACACAATTTTATTTTGGTTGATTTAATTCACAAGACTTTTGTTCTGTTGATGTCATGTATTTCCATGCACCAATCAGGATTTAAGAATATTTTAAACAAAATCGGATGACTGTAGTCGGGCTTGTTGCTCATGTTGTTAATTCAGTTTGATCAAATCACACTTAATAACTAAATATCTGACTGTTAAACTCTTAAATAATGCATAAAAGTGTTTAAGGTTTATTTAAGATTGTCTTATAAATGTAGTCCATTAATGTATATACAAACGGCCAAGACCAAGTCTAACATAAAGTTCAAGTTGGCTAATGTTAGCTTGCTTGCTAATGCGGACGAATTAGTAGCTAGCTAAAGTGTTTTAAAGTTTTGCCGTTTTCAGGTTACTTTGTTGGCTGGAGTTGGAGTGCGGCTAGCGAAGGATGACATTATTCAGCGTGGCTGGGTTGCAGCTAGCTTGTTAACCTGAGCCTGCTTGCTTGCTAACGTTATCGCTAACTAAATACTACTTTTTTTCTCTAACGTAATATAAATCTGGGTGGATATGTTGGTTTCTTAACGTTAGCTTACAAAATTACTTTCCCAGCTAACGTGATCTATGATTTCTGCCAACAATAACTTATGTAACGGTACAAAGCAAATGTTTGCTTGCTACTAGCCAAGAGCGATGCTAGGCAGGGGCATCCGACTAACATTAGTTAGTTAGCCTAAGCTAAACTGGGGTTAGCTGACTGGCTGTGCAGTGTGGATATAGCGTTGGTTGCTTTGTGGCGTTGGTTGATGGGCTAATTATTGCTAACAACAAGCTAGTTAATACTATGGAGTCTGTGGTCCAAATAACGTTGAAATGTTGAAACATGGCACAATTCATTGAACTAACGTAGTGCTGCAAAGACGCCGTGACTTACAAACCTCGTTCTTCAGATGTAAGAAAACACGTCTGTTTGATACAGACCCCAACATCATCATCATCATGTTTTTAATATTTTCTAAAGTGAAAGTGACCATATTGTGGAAACATAGGCCTTTTCCAGACATTTGGACTTGTCATAGTCGGAAAAACACAGGTGTTACTAATGCCACTAATGATGGAGCCGTTGTATTGCAGCGTCCCAGTGAGTGCTGAAAGTGACCGTGAGCCAGCATGCACAACACCAGGAGCCTGAAACTAAAGCCGCTAAATGGAATTCAGATAATGAATTTAATTAATTACACCTGTGCTTTTCCTCCTGCTACATGTCATATTGTCCTCTGTGAAGAAGGCCTATGAGCCTTAATTGCTAACATAGAGGGGACAAATATGGAACATGTTGGGCAACATAAAACTAATTAGTCTTATTATATTTTGTTTTGGCTCGTATGCTTTTTATTTTAAGGGCCCATATGGATATTTATGAATCTATGTTATTCACTACGTATGTCAAGTTGAACAACAAAGAAATGCCCCAGAATCAACTGTGAGCAAATGCATGCACCTGCTTAAATATACATATATAAACACGTTGCAAGGATGTTTAGAAGAAAATAAGCATGCAAGGAAAGGAAAGAAAAAGCAGGTTAATTGTGCAACTAGCCCCGGCCAGCAGTCAGCTAAACGGCCTCTAATGCCATGGAGGGCCCGGGACAGAAAATGATAAGCATCAGTTTCCACACACACATAATGGCCCCCTGGTTTATTGCCCTCAGCTCCGTGCCACGGCCCTAAATAACATCATGGAAATTAGTACATAAGGTCACTGTGCCAGCTCATTTGCCTAGTGACAAAAAGAGGAAGCCACGACTGAAAAGCCTAAGTTTGATGGAAAATGTATTGGCAACTCTTATGATAATCAATAAAAGTTTACTTTTCAAGCAAAGACTGATCTAGATGCTTTTTATTTTTGAGGATTGGCTGCTTTCCTTTGTCTTATATTGATAGTAACCTGAATATTCACATTGCTGGTTCCTCTCCACATTTCCACTGCTCCCTTTCCGCTTCACAGTGAGGTATGCACAAGACAGGAAACACTTCGGAGGAAGTGACAATTTTTTTTTCCTTCTTTGTGATAGCAAAGTGGGTCCCCCCCAGTGTTATCCATAAAGACACCACTGGAAAAAAAACTTTTCTGGCTTGTTGGACTCAAATAACTCAAACTAAAATTGTAACATTGGGAATCACTGTTGCATGTTAATTTACATAGTGGGAAACAAATAAACACTCCCACGTAGTTGTTTTAATGTGCTCAGAGAGAAGACGGACATGTTGCATGAAAATATGAAAGCGTCATTTGTGCCTCCATCATCCTGTCCTGCCCATCTGCCATCAGGCTCCAGAGGTTTAGTAGGTTACATGCCTGAACACATAACCCTGCCACAGCAATCACAATTAATCCCCTCCAAAGCGCTTCAAAATCCCATAAACGTTATTGTATAGATGCATCAAGGGGTTAGAGATGGTGGGTCTAAAAATAAACTAAATAACACACCCCCCCGCCACTTAAATATTTTTTCAGGTTTAAGTAAATGACAGCTGGTGTCAGAAAGTTCTCTTTCTTTCTTTTTTGTTTTGTTTTATTATCTTAATACCCATCTGCCCCGGTTCACTTTTGCCATAGTTTTTTGTGTGTTTGTTTACCAGCTGTTGTGTTGTGTGTTACAGCTGTCTAGGCTTATGCTTCTTGATTATATTAAAGTTGGTATTGTGCAATACAATAAAAGGTGTTTGTCAGCCCTGAAAAATTCATTAGTAGATTATTTTCCACTTATATAATTTATAAATTTTACTCAATGTAATTTTTTTATTATATCTTTATACCAAGATCACAAATATTCCAATAATCTTTTAGCATACCTGAGCTGTCATTTGTCTTTTTCTGAGAGTATGATCTTCAAGCCATTTCTAGGGAGATATAATATTTAGATGTGAGAACAAAAGAATAAACTTTATGTAAGAACAAATATGGTCATTTCACTTGTAATCTCTAGCAGAGGTTAGGATTATTGTTCCAGAGAGTTTTCTCGATGGATTGCTTTTTCATGAGAATAGATTGTGTATCAGCAGATTAAATAAAGATTACTTCTCCAGTGACGGTTAGAGGACAGTAAGGGTTAAAAAAAGTGATGAGGAATTGGAAATAAGGCAATTTACATGATAATTTCACGAGCGATGACGTTCATGTGTTTTGTTCCATCACAAAGCTACGCAGTCAAACATGGTGACACACCACTGCTTTCGTTTTTTAATAACATTTTGACCCAAAGCTGCCCACCAAAACAAATAGCTCATCTATTTTTGATCAAGCTGCGCGTGGAGCCTTACCGCTCTTGTAGACGACAACATCGTGAGGCCGTTGATGTGTCTGTGTGATTCAGCTGTCACGAGTCATCGACTCATGGCTCTCTTGTCTGCATATAAATGAATTTGTCAGGCTTCAAAAACATGAGATGCTGTCCATTTTTCATTATTCATGCCTCGTTATGTTTGCATTTTGGAATTGTTTTTCCCTACCGGTGCACTCAACATCTTATTTGATTTTTTTCATCAACTTATAGAGTCCTGCTAAAGAATTATGTTTCACTAGATTCCAAATAAGCTGATATAAATCTGGTTTCCAATCCGCCTAATCAATGTTTTTCTTTTGTGTTACAGTGAAAAAAGCCAAGCTCCAAGGACCTCCAGGTGAGTCCCTGCCTTTGTATTCATAACATTTTATGATCTTATGCTTATTATTTCAGTCTGGTCACACACACTCCAAATGTCGGAATATTTCACCTTTTTAACACAAACATTGAATTTGGAGAACAGGAAGTTGTAAAGTTGCGGATTATGTTTTCAATTTCTTGGGAGTTGTTTTACAATTGCTATTGTTGTTGTTTTAAGACAACTATTGGAAATGTGCCACATGAACTCACTTTCTCATGTAGGTTAATCAGTCAAATTCTGGCAAGTCACTTGGGAGCTAGGCCTGATATTGCATTATGTAATCCTGTGTCCTTCCACGCCAGGCCGCGCACAGGTGAGCCTAGATCAGTGGCTGCTAAGTCCAAATCCCCACGTCCTCCACCTAAACAGATCTAGTGTTCAGCCCCACGCCTTCCTTTAAGTCCTGTAACGTTTCTGGCAAGAGCAGGCAGCAGCATGGCAGAAAGTCACAGCGGCTTTGGATCTGCCAGTAACATTTCACTCTCATCCTCAGTCCCAGACGGACCTTGTAAGGTTAATTGCTGATGTTAATTATTCAGCAGGTCTTTCCATTTGTTCAGCGTATATTCTTTCTAGTCCCACCCTTTCACCTTTGGGCAAAATGTTTTTAGGTGTCTGCATTGTGTCACAAGTGGCTCTATCGCACTGAGATATTGGTTTTAGGTCGCCAGCCTTCTCTGTCTGTCTGTGGCCTCCTCCCTCCCCTGGGCCGCACCACGTGTGACACCTGTCCCAGAGCAAACATCAGGGATAATTCAGTTAAGCCTGTCGTCTCCCTTAGGAGAAATGTAAACATCAGTCACTGTTTTTTTGGCTACAGGGCAAAGATGGATTTTTTTTTCCAAGCACAGTCCTACATGAGATTTAGAATACAGAAGGTTGTGTTTGTACTGTAAGTGATTGTAAATATTGTTCTCTACAGTAAAGTGGAGTTGTAGGGGTAGTCTAGGGTTGCCTTCTTACACTGCTTTATTTTATCTCACTATCCTGAGCTGCCAGTACAATGGATTGTGCATCCGAGTTGCAAATTCTGCTGTTTGGATCTGCACCTAATCTTCTCTTTACTTATAGGAGGTCAGATTCCTACTTTTTATGTTCTTTCTCGGCCATTATTACACCCCATTCTTAGGAACTGGCCCATTGTACTTTTATGCTGGTTTAATGAATTAATAATTTATTTCAAGGTTATTCCTCTCTGCTCATGATAACCCTAACTCGCTCTGCATTGGTAGACGTCTTATTGGTAGACGATTTATTGGAAGAGCCCTCAAAGTTTACATAAGGCTGGTCTGGGATATGTGTTTGCCTTGTGCTTTCACCACACCTTTTAGATAATGTGCTTTTAGGCCTTACTTTGGAACTCTTATATTATGTTGTTTATGGAGAATACTGTACATGTACAATTTAAGGTGACCTTGGATGGGCCAGTGGCTAGCTGTCTGACTTTCCACTGATTGCCACAGGAAACTGGGGTTTGATAAGGGTTGTGTGTGCGTTTTCAGTCTCTGAGTGTATGCATGCACACATATTTTCTGTCTTGATATGTATGTTATTTTGTTATTTTCTTTCAACAATACACTTGTGTGTCCAGAATACACATCACAAGCTATACCATTCACATTACGGTCAGTTCAGAATATGTACTGTAGATGGAGAGACTTCTCATGAGGTGGTCCCAGCAAGGGTAGAAAACTCCTCCAATAGATTTATGTCTATGCAATATTGATGAGGGGTCTGGATTTGAAATGTCACCCTTCCAACTGCCTGCATTTCCCTGACTAATTTATTGAAAAAACTCATCATCAGTCAATAATGGATGAAGACAGTTGACTGAGGGGCTCAGGGGTGAGTGGGTGTCTCAAAACATGGACAGGACAGGAAGCCCACATCATCCCACGATTCACCCGAACTGATCTCTCCTCTTTACAGCACACTGACCGTTGTTTTTACTTTCACTGTGTGTGTGTGTGTGTGTGTGTGTGTGTGTGTGTGTGTGTGTGTGTGTGTGTGTGTGTGTGTGTGTGTGTGTGTGTGTGTGTGTGCATTATGGACATAGGAGAGAATGAGAGTATGTGCACATAGACATGTGCGTTATCAAGCATTTTAATATGTTAGGACCAGTTCTCACGCTGAGGAAGATCCTGCAAAGCTAGCTTTTTACAATGTCCACTTGAGATTAGGTTAGGTGTACCCTGACTAGGATATTGTCAGCGCCGGTAGTATCAGTTGCTACTGCATTACCATGGATACATCAGTATGTATGTATATATTAATATGCATGGCAAAAAAAATGTTTAGGCTGATAAATTGAATTTGAAAATTTAAAAATTTGGATTTATTGATAAAAAAATATTTTTTTAAGTGTTTTTTTGTATGGATTTTTAAAATTTGGTTCTAAATAATTGTGACCAAGATATACTATGTGCTGAGTGTAATGTTTTTCAGTTGAAAAACAAACTTTGCATTGCTTTCTGGTTATAATCTAATGGAGGCACTGTTGTTTATCAGCCAACATATGTACCAATACCACTTTATCTGCAATAAGCTGATATCAGTAGATATATCAGCCTGGCTGATTTTATTTTGTAAGAATATTTCCAGTAAAGTTTCTCATTTAATCAAAAGTTACTCTTATTTTATATTAACTCTTACAGTCATCACTGATAATAAGACCTCTATCGCAACTCTTTAAAAACAAAATTTAAGGAATCATTGCCAAAAATGTTTTGTGTTTTTGTCAATTTCCCTGATGCTGATGATTAAGTCAATATCGACCTGATAAATCCAGTATCAGTCAGGCCATAGTGTGCAGGTATATACCTCCAGGCAGCTATTGCTCCTTCCTCCTCAACAGTGCCGATTGTATCAGCCATATAGTGGACAGCACCTGCTGTAAAGGGCCCGCAGCCAATAAGTGGCTCTTATCTAATCCATACATCCTCTTCCCTTATCTCATCTCTTCTATTCATGGGAGCTGGCCCAAATGTGGCACAAGGCATGGACTATCTAATTAGGGAAAGGCTTGAGCATCCCCCAGGCTCCTTTGTAATAATGCCTGCGTTTTGTTGCTACTGTCCTCTCAAGACAGTAATTAGGTCTGCGTCCCGTCACTCATGCTACTTGTAGGATGGACGATCCTTTCAGACAGCGTCAGGTCATGGGGGATCACTGGGTCCTTTCAGTACAGACTTTTGTTTTGGGGCCTAATTTAATCTTTATTTATGTTGCGTGTCATTGGAATGTTGTAACAATCCAGCTGTGTCTACTGTTTGTTGTCTCATTGTGTCAAGAGTTTACTTATCAGGCTGCTGTGTTAACGGCTATGTGCAGAGTAAATGTTTCAATATGTTGCCAGGGCAACCAGCAATATCTTTGTTTAGTGTGGTCATGTGATCAGTCTACACAGCAGCAGCTGATGCCTTACTTTTATGTCCCATAGACCAAACGGTGGATTTTGTGTGTGTGTGTGTGTGTGTGTGTGTGTGTGTGTGTGTGTGTGTGTGTGTGTGTGTGTGTGTGTGTGTGTGTGTGTGTGTGTGTGTGTGTGTGTGTGTGTGTGTGTGTGTGTGTGTGTGTGTGCACGCGGAGGTCAACACTCAGGGTTCAAAAAAGGTTATTAATGCCAACTAACTTAGTATATTGCATGCTGAAAATTCAACAGTCGTTTAACCCTGTAACACCCCTTGTTGTAAAATTACAACGTTACCTTTAGCCATTCTAAAAAACAATCTGTTATATTTTATCTTATGTTTTACCACATTTACATAGTCATTGGGTCCTATTGTTCAGTCTCAAAATGCTATTGGATGGTACATTTGTTTATAAGTCCCGCCTTATGGCCATGAACTCACTCAACTTCTCAAGGTTTCTTTCGAACAACATCTCTTTGTTTCATTGGACTAAATTCATCAGATTCTAGTAAGTAAAATGTCTTTTACATTTTTTTGGTTGTTATTACAATGTCCAGAGCATGTACATATGTAGTTATTGTGGAATAGATTCATCAAATTTCATTTAGAGCTTGTTATATATTTGTTGCAATTCTACAACACTGGGTGAGTGTGGTAGTCAAAATAGCAGGCTTGTTGCAGTGGGCCCAAACAGGTTGCATTCCCTCCACTACACCACTGCCTCTAACAAAGTATTTTCTTTATACATGGACAGTATACATTCTAACCTTGTGTTGTGTTCTGGTCAAATTTGACTGATTTAAAAGTTTTATCTCTAAAAATGTAGTTAATTTGACCAGACTGACCTAAAATTCCATGACTTTGTCCACAAAGAGGATATCAACAGACAATTCAGTTCTGGGAAAGGTGAAAATGTTCCTGAATGTGGGGTGTGGATATAAGTGGGGGTATGCATGTTTTCCTTTTAGTATGATAATTAGAGAGCACAAAACGCAGTATTGTTATGTCAAGGCAGTATTGTTTGACTAAATGGCTGGTGATTGGGATGCATATTTCTTTTAGCATGATAAGTGAGAGCATAACAAGCTGTCAAGGCAGTATGAAAGTATCCTATCAAGGGAAATTCAGCAGCATCAAGCAATATATGCAAGGCAAGCCAAACCCATGGGGATTCAAAGTGTGGGTGAGAACTGGAATCTCTGGCATGATGTGTGACGTCTACCAAGGCAATGTCAACGGAATACGAGCCAAATCTGAACTTGGATTGTCAGGTGATGTTGTGATGAAGCTTGCTTCCACACATCAGAAGGTCAGAACTACAAAATGTATGCAGACAACTACTTCACCTGTGTTCCATTATTAGTGAAACTCCTTGATCGGGAATTCATTACGTGGGAACAGCCAGGCAGGTGCGCCTACCCTACTGTAACCTTGAAGACGAGAAGAGCTTGAAGAAAAAGGGGAGATGAAGCTATGACGTCAGAGTGGAGGGGAATCACAACATCTGTGCTGTCAAATGGTATGACAACAGGGCCGTACACATCCTTTGCTTGAACTGAACCTGTGCAGAAGATTCAACGCTGGGACAAAGCCACCAGAACCTACACTGAAGTTGAGAGGCCTTACATTGTTGGTGCCTACAACAAGTACATGGGAGGTATGGATTTGTTGGACTCATTTACAGCCAAATATAAGTTCCCCATCAAATCCCGTCGCTGGTACATGTACATCTTCTGGCACACCATCATCCTCGCTGTGGTCAATGCCTGGCTCCTCCAAGCGAGACTGCAAAGCTCTCAAGATGTCTAGCAAAGAGACAATGAACAGGAGACAGTTTTCAGGCACAACACTTGAAATCCAAAGAGAGGATGACCATCTTCAGGCAAAGGGAGCCCAGCATCACAGACAGTGACATCAGAAAGCCCTCTGAATGCTCAGAAGAGACCATCCAAGAGATGTGCACACCTTACATTGGATGTACGCAAGGACCTAGTTGCCATTTCCCAGTGAAGACAGGGAGGGACGCTGCAGACACTGCAATAAAGGATACACCAACACCAATGCAGCAAGTGTGATGTTCGCCTTTGCTTTTCAGAGGACAAGAACTGTTTTGTGACTTTCACTAACAATGAAAGTCAGTCATGAAAAGAAAAAAGGAATGAAGAAGTTGCTAGAAAAGCTAGAGTTTTATCCTGTTTAACAGTTTTTAATAAATGACTTCATAAAAATATGACTAATGTGTGATTATTATTAATGTTATATACCTTTATGGGGCTAAGTAAGCAATCAACCCTGCAAATTAACCCGTAGTTGTTCTGAATTGTTGTTCAGACAACATGAGTACAAATGCAGAATTCTGCTCCCACCTAAGCCCAATGTTGCAATATTACAACATTTCTCTATAAACTTACATAAACATTATTTTTTAAAACTCTTTAATTTCTGCATCAAGGCCTACTCAACAACATCTGAAAGGTAAAATAATTTTTTAAAGGTTTTCTATATTTGGGTTTCGGGTTAACCCTGTTTTAATTTTCAATATCCATTTTATTAGGTATAACTTATACTATAATTATTGCATTTTCTTACTGTGGTTTGTAATTTCAAGAGCTGAAATGATCTGATTAATTTATTAGTCTATTTTGATAATCAATCATTTCAAGCAAATTCAAACAGTATTGAGTTCCAGCTTTTAAATCATGAGGATTTACTACTTTTTTTTCCTTTTGTGATACTAAACTGAATATTTGGGGGTTTGGGACAGTTCTCTGGTTAGATTAAACAAGCAATTGGAAGACATCAGTGTGAGATTTTATAGAGCAAACATGAAATCGAGAAAATAATCATTAGCTGCAGAAAAGTAAAGAACACACACTCACGCATACACATACAGAGGCTACAGACAGATACCATGCTCAGCGCCCGCTAAGGAAAAAACAAACATTTGCATAATTAGTTTCCTTTTAATTAGTCTTGGCAACATATCTTATAAATCACACAATATTAGGCTATTTAATATGCTACTAATGAATATATGTATTTATTTATTCATTTGGCATATTTACCATCGGACATTTCGGCCGTTGATATTTTCATCTTTCAGACAACTAGACATGATTTCTAATATTTAGACCGCCCTTAAATGTCCCTTAAATATCTCTAGATGTAGTAGGGCATTGTGAACAATGTTGCAAATCACTGAATGGTACCACTTCAATGTGGTGAACTATCTTCGGTTGTTGTTATTTAATTCAGTGGGTCAGCCATTAACAGACACAGTTTCACAATTGAATTTCCAAAATTGTATTATATACACTGATGTTAAAAACATGAAGTGGGATATAATGTGATCCATACAGTCATATGTCCCAGTCAGTCATACAACCCATACTCAAGACCATCATTTCGTTCCTCCAGCTCTTCCAGCTCCTCCAGCTGCTCTTGTGCCCAGGTAGGGGGTTGAATTTTGCAGGACCGGTAACTACTAGAGCGACACTGAGCACATCAACGGGCACGTGTTGATGCTCCCTCGCCTTAGTGCAGGAAATGGAAAGTGGCGCTTGTGTCACGGGCCGTCTAATCCCCTTCCACCCCCCGTTACCCATCACCCTGCCCAGAGCTGACAGCTGGTGCAGACTGTTGTTGTGACTCTGCGGTCCGGCACTAGCGGCTGAGAGGAGGCTGACGGAGATCACTGGGTGTGAAAGCTGTCTACACAGACTGACAGACTGTCAGATAGGCACTTGAATCCATGTCACCTGCCAGTTTGAGAAGAGTTCCAGCAGTGATCACTTACTACAAAAATGGCTAGCTGTCATCTTTAGGCTTTGCTTGTAGACCATGCTGTTTGCACAGGCTGCCGTCTCCTATGACCTAACTAAGTTTCAGTTTTAATCTTGATGGTATCAGGGCTGACAGAGACCTTTTCTGCAAAAGTAACAGGTCAGGAGTGACTTCATTACATCATGAGCAGACCTGTTACATACATACTGTATGTTTAGAGTAGTGTCAAGAGAAGCTGTAACTCACAGTGCAGGGGAGACATACCAGGCAGCTGTATCCTGTATCTGCTGTGTGGGGTTGGCTCTCTTTGGAGATTAACAGGGTCAGTTTGCTGCTCTGGCCTGGCCTGGCCTGACCTTGCTTGGCTTGGCTTGGCTTGACATAGTGGGGGGGGGAAGACTTATCGTCTTTCACTCTCACTAGAGCGCTTGATGTCTTTTTTACGCACACAAAGCCAAAGTAAAACTGGCCTGGTTAATATTACTTATATCAGTTTAAACGTGTGATCTGCTGCCTATTAACACTGTACTAATAATCTTCCATACTCCTTTTTTTTTTGTTGTAACGCCCCCCCACCCCCATATGTTCTCATTATATTATTTCCACCTCACTATAATTTAAACAAAAATCTCCCTTTTCCTTTGTTTCAGACAAGTTCAACACCTACGTGACACTGAAGGTGCAGAATGTCAAAAGCACGACTATCACTGTTCGAGGGGACCAGCCCTGCTGGGAACAGGATTTCATGTTGTAAGTTATTAAACACAGTAGGATTTATTGAACTAAACACATGCATATTATACTAAACTTTAATTTAAATGTATTGCCATGAAAGTCATTCCTGAAAGCCATCTTTCTGCAGTGAGAACACAAGTTTTAGGTATTTGGTGAAATTGCACTGCCTTGATGTAGTGCACTTCAGAAGACCTGCTTGGCGTTTTATCTTAAAAAGACAATCTATGAGAAATAGTACATGGTGCGTCCTTCTGTGTCATGCATACAGTGTATCCAAACTGTCCTTTGAGTCATGTTTATTGTGATTCTGTGCTGTGAATACAAAAAGAAATGGTTCAGGAGCTCTGAAACCCCATATGAGCCATATTCTTTGTTAATTATCGTTATTTTTATAAGTTTTTACATTTCCCCACCCTAGTTCCTGCGTAGTGCTTAGAACTATAGGAAAGATGTCTGTGCAACTCTTTCTAGGAAATTATCTTGATTAACAGCTGCTGTTCATTTCCTCCTGGTAATTCATTGGTTTAATTTCCTCATTTTACTTTTCCTGTGAAAGGTATCTATGGTGACGAGAGAGTCACCACGTCGTTGCATGTGTGTCATTGTTTGTCTTTTGTGAACTCCCTCATTGCAACAGTGTTTGTTTTTCCAGACCTTCATCCTTCTACTGTCCATTAATGATGTGTCCGCTAGGTCTAATTCAACATAAAACATAATCATTCATCTGCGCTTCCAGCAAATGCTCAGCACCACCTGGTATTACAAAATATGTTCATTAAACACTCCGAGAGGATGACTCAGCTCAGCTATAATCATTTAAAAGGAATTACACATTTCCAGCAGCTAACTTGCGGCTTATTCCGCTGCTTTTTTTTTTTTTTTTTTTATGCACTTGAAAGATGTGTAAGTTATTTAGTTAAGAATTCGACATTGCTGAGAGATGGATGAAAAGATCAGTCTCATGTCTCTCTGGTCAATATGAAGCTAGCAGCTGGTTAGCTTAGCACAAAGACTGGAATTTGGCTGAAACAGCTCGCCTGGCTCAGTCCAAAAAGTACAAGTTGTGGGTACTAAACCCACCACTGAGGACAAAAAGTTGGTGAAAATATGCTTTTATAAAAATCCACCTTGTTGCTTAATGCACTGAAATTGCTCATGTTTGTTTGCACCAGAATGGGAACCTCTAATTAAGCTTAATGCATTTCTAAATTGCTTAAAGTGGTTATAAAGTGATGTGGGAGAGACTGGCCACATCTTGTTTAGATAAGTGCTTACTTTCAGATTTCAGGCATTTGTAAGTCCAGTCAGTTACTGCAAATTCACTTTTGTTCTCTATTATTATTTTTGTGTGTGTTGGATGTGCATGGATGATCCATAATGTTAAATGAAATATCAGCCTTAACAATGCAAGTCTCTCAGTTAAAATTAGCAACAGTTGGATTTCAATCCCTCACTAGATTAATTCATTCTGTGCCATTTTGAATGAGCACATGATTTAGAAAGCCTATACCTCTGCACCTGGACACCCTGGACACTAATCGCCCTCCCCTGCACTTCTCTCAATTAGCTGCTCTCTTTGATTATCTTTTCTCTCATCTTCCTTTTGTTTGGCCTGTCAATAGTTGTAAACTGCCACAGATGAGAATATGCAAATGCCCTTGTCACGCGGCTCCTTTCAAATTTGATATCCCATTTTATTGCTGTCATCAAGCTGTTTTTGAGCCCTTTGAATAGCGTGTTGAATGACAAAACAGGGCCTGAATGGATTATGACAGCTAATACACAACAAAAAGAGGAAATAGCCTTTGTTAGCAGCCAGTGGTAGGGCCTGGCAGTAATTATGTAGAGATTTCTGCTTCATTGAGTGTGAATCGAATGACACACTGGAACTTTTTTTTTTTTTTTTATTGTAATAGCAAAGCCTCAAACTAAACACTTATTGTGCTGCTCTTTTATCTGCTGACATTTCCCACATTGTTTATCAGGAAGGTTTTTTCTTTTCTTTTTTTTAAATTACTTTATAACTGAATATTGCTTTTTTCCTCAGTGAGATCAACCGGCTGGACCTCGGCCTCATTGTTGAGGTGTGGAACAAAGGTCTCATCTGGGACACCATGGTGGGGACAGCCTGGATTCCTCTAAAAAGTATCCAACAGTCAGAGGAGGTTAGAATATGCACTTACACACAAATCACACAGCCCAGACAAAAGACATACTGTAGCAAGAACTCAAAATACAAAAAAAAAGTCATCTAAAAACAGGGCTGCTTTTTGGTTTTCTCATTCATAAAAAGATGTATTATTTCACTTTAGCATTTTCTTTTACCTCCATAGGAACAGTGGGGCTTCAGTGTCATTTAGCCTAGACATAATACAAAAGCACAAAAAAATTAATTAATAAGGCAACCTGAGATACATTACTCTTGGAAATGATAATAAAGGCACAGAGTAGGTCAAAGAATAGACCCAAAAAAGGTAACATTTTCTACCGAGGTAAATATCAATATATGTGTGTAATTGCAGGAGGGCTCAGGTGACTGGATCTTTCTGGATGCAGAGGTCCTGATGAAGGCGGATGAGATATATGGCACCAAGAACCCGACACCTCACAGAGTCCTACTGGATACTCGCTTCGAGCTGCCTTTTGGTGAGATATCAGAGTTGCAGATCCCTTTTTGTCAAGTAGATCTCTTATGGTTGAATGGCACTTGTCTCTCTTAGGGCCTGTCCTCACGAATACGCGGCCTCACCCAATACGATGTCGTTTCAAAAAAATCTCCGTAAACACGCCGTCGTTTCCAGAACTATCTGCGTCTACACGGATTCACTGAAAAGACCCAAAACGCTGTAGTACATATGCCAGGCCTGTATGTGGCGCTGTGACACCGCCACACCAATACACTAAAACCGGAAGAGAAGCCATGGAGCATGTGCTGTTTACAAACAAGTAGTAGTAGTCCGCCATTGTTGTTGTTGTTATGACGCGTCTAGCGGCGGCGGCTGAGTTTAAAGGCTAGAGAGGCGGGGATAATCCGTTTTCGCCGTCCAGACGACTCCGGGGAATCCGGCGTTTTCGGATTTTCACACTCTGGGACCCATTTCCAAAAAATACCGTTTTCACACCCCGAAAACGCCGTATCCGTCTGGACGCGAGGCCGATACGATAAAGTATTTATCCGGATTCGAGAAAAACGTATCCGTGAGGACAGGCCCTTAGTTGGACCACGACCACACGGGGCCATGTAACTAGTTAGCATGCCGCAGTCTTGTTTGATATGAGAATTAACCAGACAAATCACTCCACCAACTCAGAACGGCCGTGCACCACCACCCCTAGAATTGAGAAAGAACTATCAATCTGTAAGCTCTGGAGGTACAGTGCGTTGCTCACCAGTCATAGTATTAGTTTATTTTTGTGATGAGCAGTTGGTGCGATGTGTGAATGGGTGAATGTGTCATGTAGTGTAAAGCACTTGTTGGAAAAGTAGAAAGGCTCTTTATAAGTGTCGTCCATTTACCATTTTTGTCAGTTGCTTTGTATTTTTTGCAGCATGTTATACTTCCAGAATGAGGCACATTTCCAATGAGTAAACCACACTTTTTAAAAGTTCGGGTTCTTTTGTAAGACATTTCCCTGACTACAGTGCGTGATGAGTGATGGAGTACATTCGGGATTCTGGTTACCTTAGGGCAAATCAAACCTTGACCCACTGAGTTACACAAAGGCCGCAAATGTTTCCTGCTGAAATGTCAGCAGTCTGTTTCTGAGGCTACACAGGGAACAATATCCAGCCTGAGGCACTGTGTAACAAATTGGTGACGTCTTTGTGTCCTGTAGTCTTACGCAAGCATATCTTGCATTGATCTGTCATCTCAACTTAAATAGAAAATATACCAGGGACCATATAAACACAGAAGGACACTTACTCTATGTTGAACTAACACCAGGGTACTCTTAGATTATCGTCTTAGATATACGTCTGACTGTCTAATGTCCTCTGTCTGGTTCCATTGGGGATGAGGAGTTTCTGTCCTGCCTAAATTGAGGGCACTGACTCATCAATGGCAGATCCTCCTTTATTAACTTAGGTTCAGTAAATATAATTTTGTCTTTTCCAGGTTTTTCCATTGTGGCCAACAGGATTAAGGAACCATTAAGAATGCTTTTATATATATTGCTAACATGAAGAAGAGGAGAGCAGTGAGTAAGTGACTAATGGAAACAAACTCACAGCCTTGAGTTTAGGTCCATTATCCACTTACTAACTGTTTTCTGGAATTATCCACAGCAATATTTACATATACATTCATTTAAAGCTGCCTTGATTGTTTTTTTGTTTCTTTTCTGGCCACTTTGGGGCAGAGGAAATACAGACACAGACACATAACCCTGACATGTCTTATAAATGTTGTAACATGTTGGAAAACAATTTCCTATTTACACATCCAGCAACATTAGCATTCATTTGTTGTTGTGTTTCTGTCTATCTTGTTAATATGTCCAATATTCACCCCTTTTGGCTCTTGTTTAGTCTCCACCAACTCTTGAGCTGCTAGATGTTCAACTTGCTTCACCAGCTAGTCACTAACTTTGTCTGTCTGCTGTTTGGTGCTGGGAAGCTAGTGTGCAGGTTTTTTTCCTGAAAACAGCTGCCTGCTGTTAACCTGACTGCCTCAGATGGTTAAGAACTATCTGGGAAGTCAAAGGACACTGATACCTGGTACCACTGTAGCTTGGCCACAAACGCATAGATTGAAGCCCGGCAAGATGGAGTTTATGATCTTTCGAGTCCAGTGCCATGCAAGGTTAGCCTGCTGTTGGAAACATAGTTGATGAGAGCACTGAGACCAAACCAAACCCTTAAAGAGGCTAAAAGAGCTCTAGTTCACTGATACTCAATATGAGGGGGAATGCTTTTAGTAAATGTATTAAAAATATTGATCAGAAGAGCTCATTACACTGTTTGATTTTATTATCCAGCCCCCTAGAAACTACTTGATTAACATGATAGAAATGATTTCAGATTGAAAGTCCCACTGATAAGTAACAGTATCATTCGACTTATGCTATAAATTTCATGTTATTCCTCCCATGCTCTTCAAGATTTGAGGGTGAAATGTCCCCTGTGCTCCTCCTGCAGCTCTACCTACAGTATCTCTGCACATAGGGCTCAGCATTGTGATCAAAAGGCATCAAAGCTAAAGCAGGGTGTCTGTCCGCTGAGTGGGAGAGAGACTCTTTCTCTGTTTTAAGAGGAGACCTTTCAAGGTTGCAGGAGGCCATCATGACTCTCTCTGTGCCACCAGAGCCATTCATTAAAGCTGTGGGTCGGTGTGTCTTTGAAGCCCTGGCCTTTTGTGTGTGTGGCCTTTTAATGTGCATCTGTCAACAGAGCAGCGCAAATCCCCCTGAAAAGTGGGAATGATGAGAGCACCTGATCTGATACTTATTTATTACTATTATTTTTATAGTGCACATTAATCAACACTGACGGTAACAGCATCAATGTCAGTGTGTCAGGGTTATCTCAACAGCCAATTTCCACCCGACACAATTAAAAATGCACTTCGTCCAAGCAACCCCGAACTAATTCAGACAAGTATAAAACACTACAACCATTGAAAATGATCTGATCATTACCCAGTTTAATTTTTAAAATGCTTGTGCGGTTCCACTTTCTTTCCAGTCCAAGTTTTAAAACTTTGATTGACTTTGTTATAAAGTAATGTGTTTGTTATTTACTTTAGTATGAAGACTCATGTTAGGGACCAAGAATACGACAGTAATCTAGTCTCAGGTAATAGATATACAGTAGTTGCAGAGGTTGGGTTAAGTGGGGAAAGTACGAGTAAAAACACTCTGCTTATGGATACATCAATGTTGAGCCACATGCAGTGTGTAGCTCTAGTTGTATGTACCTCTGTGATGGAAAATGTTCTTGACATTTCTGGTCCCTTAACAGTTTGTGGCCATTGCTAAGAAAGTATTTTCATTTTCTTATGCTTAAGATGCTCATGAGAAATTCATAAATGAAAAAAATAAATAAATAAAAAAAAAAGTCATAAATGTCTTATAATGCCATCCTGGAATATGAGTGAGCGGGATGTTGGCTTCAAAAACAGGTTCACATTTGTTTTGCATGTTTCGGTACCAGACATCCCAGATGATGAGGCTCAGTACTGGACAGGCAAGCTGGTACGCATCAATACCATGGGAATTGATGATGAGGTAAATTTTACTGCTTTTTTTTGTTGTTTGAAATTTGAACAGTGCATTAGTGTGTTGTGATAATAAACATACTCTATGTCCTGTTAGTTTGAATTTTACTAGTTTGAAGTGGTTGTATGTTTCTGTTTCCACTTGTACCACTGACACAAAGTGCTATATTTGTTTTCTTTGTTTATGCTGATAGGGTGACGCTAGTAAATTACTGTGGTAATAATAACAACATGACGTCATGAAATACATACTTGATGCCTGCTGTTTTTCCGCTCTCTCTCCTCTTTAGTACACTCTTCAGGATGACGTTCAGAGTCGCCCACTGCCATTTGCGGCCTCCCAGTGCTGTGAGTGTGCCTGCCCATACTGCTCTTGGCCTCTAGATGGAGCCAATTCTCCACTCTTCAAGCTCTCTAGGCTTTGATATTATTTCCTATCTCATCCTTGACCCCGTTGTACTGCCTAATGTAGTAACAGTTGAATCATCTTAATCAGAGTTGAAAATGAAGACAACACATTTCAAATTGAGTCTGTTCATACTTTCACAAACTTAACTGAGATTAATTTTTCTCACTCTTACGACAGTCTGTCAGTTTGTTTTCCACTCTGAGAGCCACTGATGGGGTTCCCTCATCCTCCCACTACTAAAACATAAGGACACTTTTTTGTTTTCACCTCCCCTACCTCCTGTAAATGTACCTCTCACGTGTAACGTCTGCACTTTCACCAGGCAACTATTTCGGATGGGCTGACCCACTGAGTATGTAAAACACACTTTGATGAAATTCTCCCCCTGGCCAATCCTCAGTGCCCTCTGCATGTCCTACTGCCCATATTTCCCCAAAACATGTAATCTATAAGATGTCCATGCATTTTATTGTCATGATTTCACTCCTCCTTAATCCCTTTGGCTGTTTTACTTCCTTTCCTGGTCTTGCTGTTTTCCTATTTTCTAAGTTATGTCGTATAACATTCATAACCCATGTATACCTTGTATACTCCTTTTAGAAAGACTTTGTTTCAATAATAATATTTGATTATATAATAATATCGAGATCAAACGTGTTTGAATATGAGTAATAATACCTTATCAAATGTGTTGTTGCATCACTGAACTGATGGTGACATTCTTTGCTAAACTGTAAGTGTGTGTGTGTGTGTGTGTGTGTGTGTGTGTGTGCGTGTGCGTGTGTATATATTTATATAGTTCAGCAAAAACTGCCACCATCAGTTTAGTGATATGTCACCTTGACGTCTTGTTGTCCTCCCACTTTACTCTAAGAGATATCAACAGAATCAGTTTGTCCTTCACCCTCTCACTTTATCGCTTTTAAAAGATAAACCCCAGCTCAGCTGTCCCCTCCAGCAGACACCAAACCTGTGGTTGGCTCTTGATAGAAGTTTTCTAAGGGTCATTACTGGGGTTGGCAATGTCACTTTCAAAAATGTTTTATGTAGGTGCTCTTCTCATAAGAAACACTGGTCTTTCATTATTGGTAGGACTGTGGTAACAACTGAATATAATTATTCTGTATTAACTTTGTCCATATCTGTCTTATAGAAAATTAGAATATATAGAAATAGAATTATATACAATTGCAGTTGTATCCGTGAATTCAATGTGTCTTTATGCATTGACGATACAACAACAGTATCTACAGGATAACACAGATTAAGAGCAGCTCAGTGTCTTCCATTTAGCGGGAGAGCTTGCATGTATAAGGGGCTGTAATCTTTTAAAAGAGCATGACCTTTGCCTTGTCAACCTTACTATTAACCTGGCATTCGCTGACCTCTGTTTATTTATTTCTTCAGCTCTTAAAAGTCTTGTCCAGATAGGCAAAATCGTAACTAGGTTGCATCCTCATCTTTGACATGAGTTAATGATGAGCAGGGATATTTTTTTAAGCTTGCTGTGTCACATGAAACATGCTTACTAATGTTTTAGGAAAGAAACAGTTATTCATTCATTTATTCATCCTGTTGCAGCTCTGGATGACCAGGACAGTGCTGTAGATGACCGGGATAGTGATTACCGCAGTGAGACGAGTAACAGCCTGCCTCCGCGTTACCACACAACGGCTCAGCCTAACTCCTCGATGCACCAGTATCCCATGGGGCCTCGGCAGCAGCACCACCCAGACTCCTGCACAGACTCTGTCCACAGTTTTGACCTCGACTACAGGGACCAGAGAGGAACCAGGTATAAATCTCATTTGTTTAGTCAAAGTAGGCAGTGTTATCTGAAATTTAAATTGATCAAAATTGACCTATTACAATATTTGTTACAAATGTAAAAATGTGTGCAGTGTAGCTGAATATGCATGTTTTTGACATTAACATACCTAAGGGGGGAAAATGGTTATATGGTAGTCTTATACAACATGACCCCTAACTATGGCCTCAGAATGACCAGAGTTGAATCAACACCTCTGACACAGTGTCACAAAGCCCATTAAAGGTAAGATATATCGTTGTAATGATTGCATTAGGATGGACAAGTGTACCTTCAGTAATGAAATGGTAAATCCATGTATGCTATTTCATTATTTTGCCAATATACTTTCTTTTCTTTTTTTTCTTTCATTTCTCTCCCTATAAAATGTATAGCCAGAGACATCCACTTACAGATCTACAGTATAATTTTAATTGTAATGCTTCTTTCGTTTTTTCTTTCTGCCTGCCCAAGAAACTAACTGGAGCTCTGTGCTTTTATTTTTTGTCTGAGAGCTGGCTTTGTCATGCGCCATACTAGATGGTTCATTCAGCTGCTTCAGGAGGGATCTGTGCTCTAGAGGCCGAATGGATTTTGTCCCACGCTGTATCCTCTCTTGCTTTTTAATTCTTACTGTTGTGGTTGTACTCATAAGGCATATGAGGTATTTGCTTAGCATGAAGTCAGAACGTAGTTTAAATGAACAAAGGTGTGTGCGGTGACACATACATTGCATATTTACATTGAAGTTATAAGACTATTAGAGGGAAAGACAATATCTGTAATACTACTGGTATAAAATCAATAACACCTATTATTATTATTGTTATTATTATTATTATTATTATTGTTATTATTATTAGTATTAGTATTACCACTACACAGCTGTTTGGAGGCAAATTTTAGTCCATTAGACGAATGGTCTCAATGCATGGAATCTACTTTTGTGCACTCTTGGATTGTCATGGAATACATGTATACCAATGAGACTGCTGCAAATCTGCCTGTGTGGACTGATAGGGACTTGATCCGGATAATTCTACATCAGAAAAAAAATTACGCCAGGGAAAGCTCATTGTTTATGTTCTTTTTGTCTTCAGGGTCTGTTGTGTTGGTTAGTTCCTGGTAGTTTGAAAGGCTCTGAACTTGGTTTAGCCAGATCACTGGCGAAGTCACACATGGGGGGTGTGGGTCAGTGATTAAAAACTTGTTCAATGTACACCATATGGTGGTGATTTAGCATGCATTTTTTTTATGAACACGCAGACTGAGTATTGATGTGCTGATGACTGTTGTAGGGATTTACAAAGATCTAAATTCACAGAGGCACGTGCAAACATGGAGGCACACACACACACACGCTCACACTTAGATACACTTAGAGTTCATCCATTTTTAGTTTATTGTACCTTACATAGGCTTTATTACATAAAGTCATTTTCAGTTTTTACAGTATCATCAAAACTGCTATAGCCTGTAATCTCTCTAAAGTATTATTACCATATTTATTAATAAGTTGAAAAGCATTATTGTGTTTTCACATTTGCATGAAACTGTTCTCATCTTAATTTCTTCATTTATCATACTGCTTAACTTGTGTTTGCATTTTTTCTTCTTGTTTGTTTTCTTCTTCTTTTTTGTCCCTGTATCCTTTCTATCCTTTCCCATCCCTTTGTTAAATATATTCTTAAACCTAAATTAGATCATTAAACCAGAAAGGAAGGGTCAGAATTATACCTGTAGATTCTGGCATGGGGGTTGAAGATTGGGAAAACAAATACAAAGGGCAGGGCAAGCCTCAGCTGAGTGACATCTTAGATGATGAAGAAGACAATGTTATCCTTCGAATGGGAAGACCCTACCCTGAGCCATCACACACCTCTATCCGTCAAAGTACTCAACGTAGTGGTTTTCTGCCTGCTACCTATCCTGAGGGCTATGACACTATTGATCGGCGGCGAAAGAAAAAGATAAGGGACCCAGGAGGGTTACTCAGTACAGAGACAGACAAAATGAGAGAAGAGGCTTTTCCTTCTGACCTTGCACTGCTCCGTGAGAAGAGAGGGGAGCTGTTTATGCGGCAGGTAGCGGAGATGCAGGAAGAGGAGGAACGTATGACATCATGCCTCAGGCCATATAAGAATGGGCTTCTCTACAAGACAAGAATGTGGGCTAAAAATGAGCTGGACCACACTTTGGAGAATTATGTGGCATACAAAAAAGAGCAAGATGCTAGAATGAGGGCACAGTTTGATTTTGATTTACAGAGTTCTGAGGATCTGCAATACTCCATTGGAGCAGAGGAGGATATTGATGATATTGCCTTTATAGGAGAAGACTTTCACCCAGACAACACAAGACATTACAAAGACCAGTATTCCTTCTCATATGAGGGCCACATAGAAAATACTCAGGGTCTTCGAGAGAAGAAATGTGGAAAAGCTGGAAAAATTGGAGGATGGGCTACTGAGGCAATGCTCTCTCCTGTAGAAGAACCAAGTGATGAATATGTAGACCCTATGGATGAGCTCCAGTGTCTAGTTGAAACTGTTTCTGAATACCTTGCTGAAAAAGAGGAGGAAATTAGCAAATATGGTTCCCTTCCTAAATCAAGCAAATCTAGGTTATCATCTCAGGGTAGCAATAGAACTGATTCTTTTGGAGAGGACCAAAATAGTTCATTAATTGATCCTAAAGAAACTCAATCACACATTCCGTCTGACCAGAGCATTTCAGGAGTAAAAAATACCATTGGCTCATTATTTAGTTCTCTCACTGACCGAGTTGGAGGAGGCCCTAAACAGCCTGCCCCGTCTCCACAAGCACCATCTGCACAACCCTCACAATCTGGATTTACCAAACTGTTATCCTTTATTCCTAAATCAAATAGCTCAGCTCCTGTAGCTGTTGTATCGCCAGTAGAAAATTCTCCTGAAAAATCATTGAGTTCTTTGCCTTCTCAGCCTCAACGTGATGCCAAGACACCAGGTCATAATCAAGAAACAAAAGCTCCCACAAGGAATCAGATTCAAGCAAGTACAAAGGAATATGTACCTGAGTTAGTAACCAAACCTCAAAGTGCTCCAGGAAACTCAGTGTTGGGGAAATTGAATCCTTTAAAGCTTTTTTCAGCAGGAGATAATGGGAACTCAGCTGAATACAAACAGGAACCAGAGTCCTCCAATTCTCAAGGCCATACACAGCTGGATGAGAAATGGGATGAGAAACGTGTTCATCAAGGTAAACCGTCGATGACAGCAGAAGAAGGTAGGAAATCAGATAAATTAAGAAGTCCATCACAAGAGAACCATGTGGGACAAAAACAAGATGGAAATATGTATGGCAGACAAAATCAGAGGATTTACAAACAAGATAATGTGCCTGTTCCAGGGCCAGTGAGGCCGACGGGCCAAACGCAATCAGCAAACACTGGATTCTTTAGCCCTTTTAGGAAGTCATTAAATTCATTGATCACACCTGTTGTCCCTGTCCCACCCCAAGGAGCTCCACCTTTGGCAGTTTATCCAGTGTTTAGATCCACAGAGGATCCTCAACTAGAGAAACCAGTGGAGGACCCATCATTAAGTAGTAAGCTTAAACTGCCTTTCCTCTCCTCTGAAAATGTTTCCACTCAGCAATGTCCCAAAGCAGAGGGAGGCCTGCTCTCTGGTTTGTTAAAGTTAACATCCAGTGAAGATGTTAGTACTTCCATGAACACACAGAGTCATGTGCAATCACGTCATGATTCATCTTCAACAACCTCCACTACCTTGACACAGGATTCTGCTGTGCCCCAGGAAAACACTGAGAAAGGATGGTTTTCCAGCATATTTAACCCTACCTCTACTCCCTCTGGTTCAAACCAGAATTCTACTAGTAATCAGCAGTCTCAGAACAGCAAGGTGCCATCTGATGCACAACATATATCAAATCAGAAACCAACAGCTGCCCATCATGGAATGTTGCACCAAGCTCCCAGTCAGCCTGAATCACAAAGTTTTTTGACAGGTCTTTTTAAAGGGAACTCGACTGAGGACATCTCACACATGGGCTCTAATAAACCCAAACAAGGAGGACTGCTATCTGGACTTCTTAAATTTGGCTCTACAAATGACCTATCTGGCACTTTACCACAGCAAGCTTCCCATAACAATCAACCACCCAGGAGCAGCAACGCCCCACAGTTTCCTCATCACCCTCCCCCACAACAACAACATTTGAAGTTTTCATCAACAGAAAATATACCACAAAATATACAGCCTTCTGTAGCTGAAAAGCAGAGGAACATCCCTGGTAATTATTCAGGTCAGCAGCAGACTTCAGATGAAACTCAAACACAGTCTCAGCAAAAGGGGCTGTTGTCTGGCTTTCTTAAATTTGCATCCTCTGAGAAAATTTCAAGCAGCCAAACCGTTCAGCACAATCAAAGCATTGTTCAACATAATCAAGAGAATTTCAACCAACAGAGTACTCAAGGTCCAAATCGAGGGCCTCATTTCAGGAATAAACTATCAAGTCAGCAAGTTGTCCAACAGGAGACAAGTAAAGGCTTTATTCGACAACACACGGTTCCACTTCAGCAATCACCATCTCAACAAGGTGGTCTTTTATCTGGTCTTTTTAAATTTGCTTCAGCAGACAACATAAACACACAACAGCACCCATCAGCTGAACAGCACAGAATTACCCCAAGTAAATCAAGTCATGAACAAACAAGAGCAAGGAATAACCCAATCTCCAATGAAAATCAACCACAAAATGGCTCAACACAAAAAACAGCTCAAGCAAGTGGTCTACTCTCTGGACTATTCAAATCCTCCTCCGAAAATATGGCTCAACAACAGCAGCCCAAAATCATCCATGAGACACAACAACAAATACAAATTTCAAGCAGCCAGACTGCCGAAGTAGAACTTGAGACAGCAAGTCAACCTGGAGTACTCTCAGGGTTGTTTAACAAATTAACAAAAACATCTGAAAATACTGACCCCATCTGCCAGACATCAACAGGACAATCACTGCACCAGAAAGCCAATAATTATACAGTCACAATAAAGACCCCACTTCAAACACAGTTACACACTAATGTAACCTCTCAAGAACATGCAGCAAAGGAGAAGGGGATTCCTCGAACTGCCCAGCAAGGGTTTTTATCTGGACTGTTTAGCAAAAATGTAACTGAGGACACGTCTACTCCTAAACAAGTAGAAACGTCATGTCAGAATACACAACAACATACACCCTTAACTCAGAATATAGAACAGACGCTCTCAACTAAGTTTGCAGATTTACCTTTGGGCATGTTAAAAAGTGCTTCCTCACACTTAGGAAAGGAGAGCTGTCAAAGAGTTGTTTCAGATTCTCTTAATCCAGGACAGAGCAGACACACTTTAATCGGTGCACCTGCATCAATTGATACTGAGAGTTTAGACTTAAGAACATCAGCTACTTTTGCAAGATCTCTTCAGAGTCAGGCAACATACTCCTCAGTTAGCACAGGAAATTTATCTCAGTTATATTATTCTGGCTCACTTCAATCAGTTCACCCAATGGCTTATAGTACAGGAAATATTAATTCCCTTTTACAAAACCATGCAACTTCTTCAGTAATGACCACGCAGCAATGTATTGGCGGGAGCAATTCCTCTTTGTATGGAGCTACAAGGCAAAATCTTTACCAAGGTCAGTTGTCTCCTTATGGTATGAGTCCCTCTTATGATGAAAACCAGTGGATTCGTGAAAGTGCTCTATGGCAGCAGTTTCAGAATGAGTCACTAAATTATCAATTCCAGGGAGGGGATCAAGTGTATAACCAGAGTTGTGAAGCTGCCTCATTACAGGGATCTGCTCTTTGTGGCAGCTCATATCAGCCATTTAACTCCTCTACACCATGGCAAGGTGTTTGTCATCAAGAGCAAATTGGACCATATCAGCTGGAAAGACGCACAAATGATCCGTATCCCAAGAGGAAATTATGGAATAGTTATGAAGACTTGGGAAACATAGAATATTCATCTAATGAAGAGGGTGCATTGAACTTAACTACTCAACAGAGTAATTCAAAGTTTGGGAAATGGCACTCTTTCAATGATGGTAGCACTTACAGCTTGAATGGGGTTTCATATCATGAAGGCTATTACGAGGAGACTGCACCAAGCTTATCTTATTCGGCTAACTGGCAATATGAAATGGACAATGCAGTCCTACAAGATTTTCATACAGATGGCATGATCCATCAAAGTCAGTTTAATTTAAATAGACCACTAAATTCAAACTATCCTCCAAGTGCCAAAACTGAGACGGAAGACTCCCTGTACCTCGAAGACACTGAATGGTATCAGCAGTGGCTTGCACTTTTGGAACAAGGAATGTGGTGGCCAGCAGAAGATGGTGACTGTGGCTACTTTGTTTATACAGATCATGAGTACATTTATGCCTTGCTTACAGATGCAGCAGGTGAATATGTGTATGCGTGTGGCCCTGAAGGCGAGCCTTGGGGAAATGCACAGAAATTAGATGGTTTTCCCAGTGCTTGGCTGCACAATGAAACGGTTTGTGTCTGTGGCTTTAAAATTCCACTTTACAATGAGGATGAGCTTCTTTGGCTACCTGGTCAAGATCACTGTGATTCTCAACTTCTTAATGCCCCCCTAGATTTGTCTGCTGCCTATAGAAAAGGAAATCAGATTATGAATTTGAATCTTGAGCAGTTCTCTCAAATGTTTGAAAATTCATTTCTGTCACAAGGGCAACAAGGTGTAGATTTCACATCTTACAGATTAAACAAAGTCCGGATGGATCCAAGACAGTCCAGTTACGTCTATGAAGACCAATGCAAAGATGTTATTGACCTTTCCTGTCATAACAAAGACCACATTGGCCCTTATTGGAACAACCAGGAAATGAAATCATTTCTTGCGCAAAAGGTTGCTGTTTCCCTGAACTCCACTGCTACTGCGAATTTGAGTCAGCAGGTACTTTACAACTGTTACCAACCTAGCCAACGGCGGCGTTCATCCACGGGGGTTACAGTAAAGCATGTAGATGATGTATTGGAGGAAGAATGGAGGAAGAGAGTGTCTCCAGGAGAAGAACAACCTAATCGTCAAACTAAAAAGGTTTCCTCTCTCATATCCTCTTTTGTGGGCAAAACATCACAAGTGGAATTAAACAAAACTAGCATATCGTCTGGTGATCGAAGCGCTGACAAAAATTCGAAAAACATTCTTTCATCAGGTTTCCAAAGTCTGAAGTCGAAGATAATCAAAGAAGAACCCACTGTTGTTGTAACACCGCCAGAAAGTGTTAAACAACAAATGCAGAGACCAGCTACCACGCAGGGAAGAATTTTGCCCACAATACCAACAACTGCTCAAGTGACTCATCCCTCAATACAATCCCATACAACTTCACAGAAACCAAGACTTTCACGTCAGGCTACCATGGTACAACAAGTAACCCCACCACCACAGCCCAATGTCACAGTGCCTTTAGGATCAAAAGAATCTCCTGTTAAACCTGGAACACCTGGACAACTTGCATCTGACAAGCCTGTGGATATATCAGTGGAAAAACCTTCTGAACAACCACAGCCAGGCATCATGAACTTTCTGAAATCTGCAGTAGGAATAGATGAACCAAAGCCAGATCCCCAGAAATGTTCTCAGACATCTCCTAATCAGCAGAGCAAAACTGGCAGCACTGCTTCCTTACCAGGAAGTGCCTCTTCAAATAAAGAGACTGCAGGAGTTTCAAATCTCTTTGGATCAATTAGCAGCCTATTTAGTACTGAGCCCTCTCCACCACAGAAACAGCAAATGAAATCTAGTGTTACAGAGGGTTCACTGACATCAGCATCTAAAGCTAAGGGTATACAGAGACAACGAACAATGGACCAAAGTGGTACCTCTCGGTCCACACAAAGCCAACCCCCAAACAAAAGTATATCTCAAGCATTTCCCAATTCTTCCACAGGCCCTGCCACGAGCCAATCAGAAACTATACGACCAACAGAACAAACTAAACATGACGGAGGAACTAAATCATCTGGTGGACTGTTTGGATTTTCAATTGGAGAAATGCTGGCAGGATCAACAGCAGCTGCCCAATCTGGACCTACACCTCAACCCCCTGCATCAGCTACAGCTCCACAAGAAGAATCACTTGGTAAAAGTATATTATCAATGTTTAGTGGGCCAAATCCTCCACAGCCTTCACCTAATACTGGGCCCTTGCCTCAGGCATATCCATCAAGTGGAGCTCCACAAACTCCTCAACAGGAATCTCTTGGTAAAAGTTTATTGTCAATGTTTGGAGGATCAAGTCCTCCTCAGCCTCCTCCTCAAACCAAGCCTGCTGCCGAGGTACCACAACAGGGAAATGTTCCTCCAAAAGAGCCCACAAATACAGGATTCCTTTCCATGTTTGGTGGTCCCAGCCCTCAACAGTCCCAATCCCAAACAGGATCTCTTCTAGGGGGGATTCTGCCTGGGTCATCAAGCTCAACTGAAAGCCCAATGAAGGGACTGTTGTCAATGTTTAGTGATCCCAGTCCTCCACAACCTCAGCCACCAACATCGTTATCTCAACAAAGAGTAGCTCAATCCCAAACTCAACTGGAAGGGGAACCTCAGATACAATCTAAACCACAAGCACAACCTCAAGCACAAGGGCAGCCAGCCACCTCTGTTCTTGGGGGAATATTGGGTGGCTTGTCTACCTCTAGTGAAAGTCCAAGAAAAGCTTTATTCTCTATGTTTAGTAGCCCCAGTGCTCCTCAAACAACAGGGGCTGGTGGAAGTACAAATTTGTCTTCTTCCCCAGGGACAACAGCACCCAAAGAACCTGCAAAGAGTATACTGTCTGTATTTAATGATGTTGTGTCACCTCCACAACAAATTCCCAATTCATCATCTGCTACTAAAGAGCCACCAACTACTTCTTTACAACAGGGTTCTTCCCAAACACCATCTGTTTCCAGTAGCCATGTCCCAGTGACAGCATCTACCAGTGATACATCAAGTGAAGTACATATCGGCCGATCCACTGATACTATTACTGATGCTACTACTCTAGATACAACACCAAATACAGAATGTGTCACTGTGCAAAAGGAAGGAAGCACAGAAGGTGCATCCCAGGACCCTGCTCCCTCTAAAGAACCACCAGCTCCTGGCCTTTTGTCTATGATCAGTGGATCAGGCCCACAGATTCCATCCCCACAAGCCGGATTCATTTCAGATAGTCCAGCAAAAGGTTTGCTTTCATTATTTTCTGGGCCCAGCACTGTAGGTCCTTCACCTGCAGGGTCTGCACCTGGATCATCAGGCCCAAAGGATGCACCAGCCAAAAGTTTGTTCTCTGTGTTTGGAGGTTCTACCCCTCAACCCTCTTCCCAGCCTGGAAGTTCTCTATTAGGATCCATGTTTGGAGGCTCTTCACCCCAGACAACAGCTTCTCAAACAGGGGGATCATTACTGGGTGGTTTATTTGGGGGGCCTGCTGCTCAAGCTGCTCCTCAAGTTGGCCCCACTAAGGTTGGAGGCTCTGCTCCCCAGACAGGACCTCAGGCAGGGGCATCCTTACTTGGAGGCTTATTTGGTGGATCTGCTCCCCAGGCTACTGGGTCTCAGACTGGAGGGTCTATTTTGGGAGGGATTTTTGGAGGATCAGCAACTTCAACTACAGCACCTCAGAATAGTGGGTCCTTCGGTGGAATGTTTGGTGGGGCTGCAAACCAAACTTCAGCATCCCCAAATAGTTCTATATTGGGAGGTATTTTGGGGGGATTGTCTTCTCAAACACCTACTGCAAAGACTGGTGAATCTCCTTCTGGTGGCATTTTAGCTGGAGCTTCTGCTTCGAATGAGATACCTGATAAAAGTTTATTTTCAACGCTTGGAGGATCTGTTCCACCTGCAACACGCACCCCAGCAGCTACACTAAAATCTAATGATGACAACAAAACGTTAACTACAGCTCTTACCACTTCAGATATAACTGTTCTACCAAAACCCAGTGATGAGAGTAAAACTGCTTCAGCTGTAGCTAGTCCGGAAACATCTGTAGTCGATACCGCTACCAAAAGCAAAGAGCAGGGAGAAGCACTACAGCAACCTGACAGTACAGTTCAGCATCTTGAAACAAGCTTACCCAAAGCTGATCCCAGTGTCATAGAAGACGTTACTTGCCAACATACTGGCAAGCCAAGTGTTTTGGCAAATGATATTCAGTCTAAAGAATCTGTCATCTGTGCACAGGCACAACAACCTGCAAAACCAGAACTTGTGAGTGGTCAGTCAAGTCATGATACAATCTCACCTAAAGTAGAACAGGAAACACCAGCATCTCAGTCAACAAGTAATGTGGTCCAGGGACAACAAAAGCCACTAGAGCCAGAGAAATCTGTTGGTGACTCGTCAGCAGACACTGTTACAGGCTTTATGTCTTCCCTTTTCAAACCATCAGTTGCACCACCTGAAGGTCCTCAACAACAGCAGAAGAACTCACTTTTTGGACTGGGCGGAACAGCACCCCAAGCTGCTACTGGTCAGACTGGAGCATCACTATTGGGAGGTATTTTTGGTGGGTCAAACACAGAGACAGCAGCTCCCCAGACAGGAGCATCATTACTGGGAGGCTTATTCAAGGGGTCTGCTCCTCAGTCTGGTCCTCAAACCACCACCCCCACCACTGGAGGGTCAATATTAGGTGGAATGTTTGGAGGAGGATCCACTGCTAAATCTGCAGGTCCCCAGACTGGAGGATCATTACTCGGCGGTATGTTTGGAGGGGCTACGACAACATCACAGCCTGGTGGTTCTTTACTTGGAGGAATGTTTGGAGGAGTCTCTGCTCAGACTTCAGGACCACAGACTGGAGCATCTATACTTGGGGGCATAGGCGGATCTTTATTTGGGGGTATGGGACAACCATCCAAGCCATCTGAACCAATGCCAGCAGAGCCCAAGCCAGGACCTGGCACTACTCCACAGCCACAGATTAAGAATGAAAGTGTGCCACCTAAAGTATCTCCATTTGGCACAGAGACTAGTACAAATAAAATTGTGGACTCAACCCTACCAGGTGACAATCAAAATCAATCGAGCAGCCTAACAAGTAGTAGTGCTGTGGCATCTGAGACAGCTTGTCTGGAAATCTCTGCTGTCACAAGTGCTCCAATAAGCACTTCTTGTGACCTCACCCAACAGGTAGATAACACTGAAAAAGAACAGTCAGCTGTTGAGGGAGAGGTGATACATGAAAAGCCCATTGTCATTAAAGGAGACCCTGAGAGTGAAGAAAGTGACAAATCAGTCCCACCTGAAACCCAAGAAGCCAATACTAATATAGCTCCTCCAGTTAATCAGTTGCCCAACAATGCAGAACCCCCTCAAGCAAAATCTCTGTTTGGTTTTATATCGACACAGAGTGATGCAGGAAAATCTCTTGGATCCCTATTTTCACCAACAATGCCAACAGGTGGTCTGTCAATGCCTCAAACAGAAGGGGGCAGTGGTCTGTTTTCAGGATTAAAAACCCTTTCTGGTGGCCTATTTCAAGAGGAAAAACCTGTTGCTGGAAAACAAGAGCCACCCACCACTTCATTATTTGGGACAAAAATAAGTTTTCCTTGGCAGGCAGAGCCACCCAAGCCACAAGCAGTTATAACATCTCAACCCAAGACTAACAGCAAGCCACCAAGTGATCAAACACATACTGTACAAAATGTTGCAACATCTGATGCTCATAAAACTGAATCGGTAGGTTCCACAGATGATATAGCAAACTCCCAGATTTGCATATCCACTCCTGAAGTAGATCCTTCAGCATCCCTGACCCCAAAGGAGAAGGAAAGGCTTGTAGAAACAACCCCCTCTGCAGGTCCTACCTCTGGAGTGCAGCTGGACAACCAATCCAAGATGGATCTATTGAATGCAAAAAGGCTAGTAGAAGCATAATAAATGGCATTCCCCCTCACCATTTATGATGCATTGACACTGACAAAAAATGTATTCCCTGTCCAGCTCTGCAGTCCATCCATCCTCAATAGTTTAATGTAGTATTTTAGCTTGAGTGTATGTATGTATGTGGGTGTGTGTGTGTATATACTTTGATGTAGGTTTTTGTTTTTTTGTAGTAAATCTGTAGTATCTGTTATTTTACATTTTTTGTCATTTCAAAACAGAATTCCAAAACAAAATTTGCATATTTCTATAATTATAAGCAATTCACAAGATAATGTACTAATCATTTATTAATTTATTAAAGAGAGATAAAATACCTATTTATAGGAACCAATACAAGAATTTATGTCTGTGACATTATAAATAATGTAAATTTTGTTTGCACTTGGAATTCTGTCATATCATTTGTGTTGTGTATTATTTGATATGGTGGAAATTATTTTTGATTTATTAGGTTACGTGAATCAAATTTTGTAAATTCTTACAATTTAGCCCAGAAATTAAAACATTATAAATGTAGCCAGTATGCATTCTGCCCCTTAAAATGAAACTGGTTATAAGGTCCGACTTTATAAAAGGTAAAATTTCAAATCCACAGGTACATTTTTTTTTTTATTATCGCCCATCTGTACTATAACCCTGCCTCTCCGTAAGCTTACTAACCATTGTACACCGTATATACAGTATGTGTTCTGTCTCGTTGACAGGTGAAAAGAAAATATTGAGAATAAAATGTACATAAATATACCGTTTTTCGTAAGGACAGGCAGTCACAGTGGATTTTATACTTTGCACCACAAAATAAGGCATACTCTTATGTGTGCTGTTTTGGTTTGAAAAAAGCAAGTCCAATATAAGCATATGCAGTGTATAATATGCAAGCTAACGCATTAATACAATTTTCACATTTTCATTATTTTCTAACATGCAACAGCCTCAGTGCAAGGTTGGGTATTTTTAGGGCATGATGTGGTGTGTGTAGCTACTGTATACCAATTGATAATTCAGAGACGTTATTAATTAAAGTAGACCTTTGCTAGATAGTTAAGTCCTGTTTGGACACAATTCTTAGTAGATGAGTGGGGTTTATTACAACCCAAAAACTATGATACATTGAAACTATTTATAAGTACTTAAACTTGTTATATGTAACAATCCCCACTTATCTAGCCAAAAATATTAAACACAAAAATATTTAGAAATAGTGTTTCACCTAGTTCTGATCTCAGAAAAAGTATTCTGACATTGAATATTTTCCTCACTCTTCTCTCACCATTGTAGTCCAGTGGAAAGTAGTCGCTTTGGGTCATCAGGAAACCTGAGCCAGACGAGCTCCCACCTTAGTGAGACTGGCCAGGAGAGCACTGGCGGGTCAGAACTAGAGGAGTCCTTCCACTCCTACCACAGTACTGGCTTTCACCCCTCTGCCAATGGGAAGACACGCACCAATGGACATCTTTCCACCAATGGACACTCTTCTGTCGGTGAGCAGGAGATACATAGGTTGTCCCCTGAAGTAGGACAGGGCCTGAAAAATGACACTCCAGTGGAGAGAGTGTCCTCTAAACTCCAAAGGTATGGTTTCTGCTCAGAATTCAACTCAGTTTTGCATGTGCTATAATGAACATGCATGGACACTAAGAGCTTATCTCTCTGTTGCTCTACTCTTAAATCCATGTAACCCAGGTTCCACGATGATGGGCCGCCATTACCCTTTTCCCCATCCAGAGTTCGTTGGTTGAAGGCCATCAATAAAGTCAGGGTTCAGCTCCGGGAGGTAGGCACCACCAGTATCTGATCTCTGATCACCTCTGAAGTCTGACTTCCTTACCCTCTTCTTTCACACTCTACTACACATATACAAAGATTGCACATATGCATACACAGACATATACAACCAATTGCAATTTTTTTAAAGTGGTTGAGTTTAACCTCTTTGATTGTTTAAGATGATGCACTAAAATGTATAAGAATAATATTACAACTGCAATTGTTTTTTTAATTTTTTTGCAACAAAACCCATTTGCTCCTCTGTGCCCTTGTGGTGACACACATTCATTATTGGGAACAGTGGGGTACGCAGACAGATTGTTGATAGCCTCAGAGCAGCAACAGTAAAACTACTAGGGATTTAGTGCATCATCAAAGGCACCCGGGATTTCATTTTCAAGTAAAGGTTGACTTTATTTGATTTAGTTTAACCCACCTGTGCCTGCAGCCAACTTGTCATAAGCTTGCTTCTCTCTGCTTAAGCTGTCCAGCCAACATATGCTGCTTGAATAGAGAGGTAAGATGGTCCTGCCTAGTTTTTAAGTAACATAGCATTTGTAATTAATTTTAGATTGGTTAATTGTATCTCTGTTCATGGCACTGTGATTGGGAGGCTCAAGTATACTGTTGACTGTCCATCACTTCATCTTTTGCATGAATCATTACTTCAGGTACCTATGATGTTCTACTATGACAAAAATAATGTGGTTTACTTGTGCCATCATTTGGACAATCGAATCAGAGGGAAGGATTTAAGAGATGAGAAGGTGTGGCAATTGCATCAGCGGAGCTGTTTATCTCTTGATCAGATCACATGACATTGTTTTGATCTTTATCATAGCATGTTTGGCTGTTGCAATATAACCTCATATTGAACCAATCTCCAGTACAATTATGGAGAATTTGTATCCACTGCATGTCAAACGATGTTGAATCTAATCCAGAATCTTAGATCAGAAATGTTGAGGGTGGTCCTAATAAAAACATCACAATCTCTCAGCCCTAACTGGAGTTCATCCCCTTGATTAAGCTTTTTATGGCATAGCAGTAAAGGTGTGGCTCATATAGAACCTTGCTTGGCTCCATTATAATGATTGGTTTGCATGGCCTGGTTGAGACGAACATGTACTGTAAATGATGGCTGATTGAAGACATGAATATAAGTGGAAAGGAAGGTGAAAGCTGTCTACTGTAGGTGCTATTTATTACAGGATGGAGGGAAACACTGGACACAAGTCTAAAGGCTGAAAAGACAGTAAAGAACTTGAATTGTTTGTTAATCTGTCTAGCAATGCAACAGTGGCCAGAACGCTAGGCTTGACATGATAAAACATCCTCACATGCTCGCTTACATTCAAAGACTGGAATGAGATGAGATTTGTAGCTTGTTTACAGTTTCCTCGGCATATGGGAAAAATCTAGATCAGGAAGTGGAACTAGCTGCCAGACCCTTTTCCAGTTTCACTTTCAGCACCCATATTTGATATGACTGAGCTGCAATCTTTGAGTAGAATTGACTTTGTCTTTACAATTTTACGTTTACAAGGAAAGGCTATCATTGAGTGCAGGGAAACCAGTGTTACTGATATGTTTATAAGGACTGTTTTCACTTTTTATAAGTAGAAATAGAAAAATCACAAATATCAGCAACTGGCAGATGTGGAAACACAGAGAGAGAGTGAATGAGACTGAGAGCTGGCAGTCTCACAGCCTCAGATTAGCTTTGTGCTTGGAATACATTGCCAGAGGACAGAGGGAGAGAGAGCAGAGAAAGCATGCAAGAGGGTGGGAGGGAAGTAGGGATGGCTACTTAACTGAGGGTGAACTGCTGTGTGATCGTAGTCTACCACTATCGTGCTTGCCATTCCAGTGGTAGAAATGAGGGATTCAGCACTTCTACATCTCTGTCAGTTAAAGAAGATCTGCTGGTTTAATTGAGGCAGAGCAAGACATTCAATAATACACCTGGGGATACATTTTGAAGAAGGACAGGAAAATTACTATTATTTATTGGCCGAGCCACGCAGATTTAATGGATCTTGCAAGACATTATCTACAGGTTGTTCTTGATTATAATTTTTTCTTATAAGGTAAGGCTTACATTTCAATATATATTTGTCTTTTTATGCACTTAGAGTTAAGTTTGGGTTAGACTTTGATTCAATGATATGGTATTCCATGTTATACACAACTAATGTTTGGTTAATGTACATATAAAAGGTCTTATGTGTCTTAGTACCTAGTACTACCGAATTTTAGCCTTTTTCAGTACTCAGGTGATTTTCATTTTCAAAGAAAATTCCTTGAGAAGAAGTCAACTTAAAAACTTCAAAAGCAAGACATCTTTTTTTATCCAGGCCACAGACCATTTTTTACGGAGAGAAAAAAGATAATTAATTTAAAATTTAGTAGTGATAGGAAACATTTTATTTTGATAGGCTTGATTATATTTATCTGCCTACTAAACCCCTATCAGGCAAATCCATAACTTCTGTGCTCAAGTGCTCATTGAAGACCTCCAGTGCATTGCTAAAAAGAAATGGTATATAATATTTAGAGGTATGTCTTCATTAGTGTATCATCACTTTATGTTTTAATTGCCCTTAGAGTGAGACATTTTTTATCTACAGACACCGTTGGTTGCCTTCCATGGCGGTTGCCATGTTGAACTCCCATGTTTCTACAGTAGGCCAGAATGGAGAAACCAAACACTGGCTCTAGATAGGGCCATTCATATTTTCAGGCAATTTCCAGACACTGTAGTTTCCCCTTTGGGCTTGGAATGGGAGGGTGAAGTAAGGAAGTTGCAGCATGCAACATAAAATCAGCATGCATCCTTCTTAATAAGAATAAAATAATTGTGTTTTGTTAAAGGCTGTAATTAAGACATTGTTTTAAACAAGTTAGGAAACAATGGATGTTGCCCCATTTTCAGTTACAAAGATAAAGCAATAAAAAAACAAAATAAGATTAACAGTTCACTCTATATATTTATTGTTCTGAAAAGGTGGCATTGAACAGTCAACTCAGCTTAAGGATAAAAAAAATCCAATAAGAACTTCATATTCTCTAGTTCTAACAAATCCTACTATGTCTAGTTTAAGGGCAGTCAGCAGGACCATGACAATTACAGGATTTTCTGAACTGATTGTTGTCTGATTGTCTATATAGTGAGGCTCAGTGTACAAAATTAATATGCCTGAGCTGTGTCTAATATATACTATGACTTAATGGAAGGAGCATATGAGACATATCCATATAATTGCTCAACATGTGCCCCTTCAGTATTGTAAACAAGACTATGTTTATCAATTTTACCAACTGGTTCACTTGCAGAAATGAATTTCGACTACATACTTCCCTTGAGTATGTAATGCCATTAGATAGATTTATGTTTATGTCATTTTTGAGGTATTCAAAGATGCCTTTAGTGTGTACACTGTAGGCAATGGGTCAGAGCTATCAAGCCATGCAGCTGGTATGGGTGTGAAAGAATGACATGGCCTTAGACAAGAGAATTGACCTGTCATCTAATTACTGAGCTGCTTTTCCAAAGCATTCTAATTACAGAGATTCAAGCAGCTGCATGGTGTTCATTCTGCAAGTTGCTACTCTAACTGAGAGGAGGTCAGTTAAAGCAACGCCATCTATACTATTTCTATACTGTACTTAGTAGTGTAGTCTCTCACAGTGACCCTATATATTAGTTTAAGATCTCATATGTTCTTAATGTTTTAAACTATTTTATCTGCAAGTAAAGCAACATTCTGCCCTATTTTTTTAAAAAAGAAAATGCATATAGTACATAGCCAGAATTTGTTGACTGTTGAAACCAATGCTTAATAATGTGTCAGAGTTACTTCTTTTTTTTCCTCTCTCTTAACTGTCTGGTCTGTTGGTCATAGAAAATGCATTCCAGTAAATTCAAAAGAATTAATATTAATGATAAAGCTATTTATTTGATCCTTTGCATTTTCATTCCACTATGAGTTAAAGTAGTAAAATAAATGATAACTGAAAAATGCCTTTATCTTGTTATTTTATAGCACAGATGTAGCAGAGCTAGATTCTTCAGTAAATTAAATTTACATACAACAAATGCAGATTAGTGCTTGGAGTTTTCACTGCTTTGTCAACAAAATAATTTACTTGATCTTGTCAGTCATGGTGCAGGTACTCATTTGAAGTTTAAAATGTTGGCTTATGCTTACACCATCCTAAGGAGGAGTCACTGAGACAGTGGTTTGTCCATGTGTGGAAACAGCTGATCAAGAGTGCCACTTCTCAGGGATGTTCCCCAGAGGAGGCATCAGTGAACAGGATGAACTCTACAAATCAGAGCTACTTTCACTCTCGCCCACGAGGGGAGACCTGCAGAAGAAGAGATCGCAGAGTCCCAAAGTCGGGCAAAGTCTGTGCAGAAAGCTGCAGAAGTCTCTGCAGGGGCCAGAGGATAACTCCCTTCATGACCTGTCATCAGTGGATACCAAAGCTGAACTTACCCCGTCTGAGGAAAACAGCAGTTCTGATTGCCAGGATGGCATTGGGGTTGTGAAGGATTCTGTTCCCAGGCTCATTGAAAGGATCAGAAATGAAGAAGAGAAAGAAGAGATGGAGGATAAGGAGGCAGAACAAGGCTCTAGTAACATAGTGGAACATATACTAAAAGAGCTGAAAGGTATCAACAAGATCCAGGAGGAAATATCTGACCTGAGGCAGTATCTAACATCTGTGCGAGGCTCTGTGGATGAAGTATCTTGTTGTGTTGATGCAGTGCTCAGTGAAATAGGTGAGCTGTACTCTGGGGCTTCAGCTGCACCCCATCCTAGTCCTGTTTCTCAAACGCCTCGCATCAGACAAGGAAGCTTGGGTAGGCAGAATGCCATAACATCTCTTCAAGACAAAGACGCCAGTCCACTGTTGGATCGCAAAGATTGTGGAAAAGATTCAGGATATATACCTTCGCATAGATCACCCAAACAATGGCATGTCGATAGAGTCACTCTCCAGTCAGACCAGCAAACAGACCAAGAGAACTCGGAGCAAAGTTCAAATATGAACATGCTAGGCCCTACAAAACCTGACCCCTGCTACCAAGAGCTTCATCATGGTTATGGCTACCACAGCACCAGCTCTTTGTCATCGTGTCACAGTTCCAACTGTCCAGAAGCAGGCTTTCTTTCTGGTGACACAGAATATAGCAGGTGGACTTCTGTTGATATGCAGCACAGTGTAAGTGGAGAAGGAGGTTGGAGTGAAGAGGACATCTGCTCTTGTGCAAACAGTGCAGAAGAGCTAGACAACTGTCTACGTGTTTGGGACAGGTGTGCCACAGAGGAGACACAAAGTAGCACACCAGGTCATTCTTCACAAAACAGCTCTGAGCATCTCTCATTGTTGTTTGGACACCCTTACAACTCTCCTTCGAGTTCTTCCAGTATGGTGGACTGGAGGCCCCCTAGACTGCAAATTGAGGAAGAAAACTTGGAGTGTGACTGTTCTGCAAACTGCCCATACTCACGCAGCTCTGGTTACCACACCATGGATGCTTGTCCAAATGACCTTGGTAGTGGGCCCTCCAGGAGTCTGAGTTGCTCCACAGTGCTTCTGACAGACTGTGATGATGGTTACCTGGAGCCACATTCACCGTGTGATGATCCATCGTCTGGTGACACTCTTGATCTGGGGTCCGCAGACAGTTTGGACAGGGAGTGGACAGATCACAGCATCTCCAGGGATGAAGCAGGAGAATCATTGTCACAGGAATCTTCTGAAATAGATCCTGATAGTGCCAAGACCCCCAATGTAGGCTTTGATGTAACAACTTTTAGCAAGGCTGTACTCACTTTCAGGTCAGCTTTGAAAGGGGCTTTGAAAAAGTTGGAAGGACCCAACCCTGAAGGGGTAAAAGATGATAGTGAGTCTGAGGCATCTCCATCCCCTCTCAGACAGGCCAGTGTACACGAGCAGAGCAGTACAGAGTATACAGAGGGGGAGGTTAGTCTGACAGAAAACCACACTCAATTTGACTCTCCAAAGGAGGGCCAGTGAGGCTTCGGTCTATGTGGATTGTAGCGAGACACATGATAACTTGCAATGCTCTCTTCAAGCATCTCCCCGTGAAGCAAGCCACTCTCCCTGCACCCCAACTGAGTATCACTCTGTTGAGATTTCCCAGGGCAAAGGAGAATGTCCAACAGATGGGGAACTGTCCAACCTTGATTTAACACCAGACCGCTGTCCAGAAAGGCAGGGTGAGAGTCCACTGGTTCCAGTGCTCAGTACAGATGAGGTGCGGTTAAGTCCAATTAGGGAAAACCACATTCTTGATGAGGTTAATCAAGGAAAGTCTACTGATGCCAGCCACAAAGAGCGTATAGCTAATTTCAAGCGCATTCTGAAGGAAAAGAGGCAAACCCGTCATAGACTGTCCAAATCGGCTCAGGGGTCCCAGGGGTCTTATGGCTCTCAAGGGTCTCAGGGATCCCAATCTCAAGACGAATTTATCCCAGGTATAATCTTTTCTTTGACTATAATCACTGGCAAGCCCAGTCATAGCAGCAAAAAAATACACCTTAAAGCATGAAATTATATAATTAAATGTACGTCTATTGCATTGAGATTAATATATATTTAGCCTTGTACGGGTATCATCTATAAATTGTTTGTTGATTAGAGAATTGTTAGTTGATCCATTGTCTCTTTAAATCACTACCTTGAACATATGGTCCAAAGTAGTTTGCGCTTCCATAGTATTCTCCACAATTTCTAATTCTTTAATTTTTTTCTCTTTGCAGAGTGTGGCAAAGAAGATAATCAGGTTACTCATATAACATTAGCTCCGCATTTAAGCTATAGTTATTTTTTTCTGTTGATTTCAATGTTGTGGGATAACAATGTTCATTTTCTTTCTCCATTACTTGTCTTTGTCAAAGGGAATGCTTGTGTACCCTCCAGAGCATGCAGGGTTTTATTGAAAACTTAATCTTGCAATTCTGCAATTGGCTCCATTACTTCAGTTATTCTGCATAATAAATAGTTTATTATTGGTTTAATTCATGTTGTATCTTTAGAGTACCATTCCCCATTTCTTTTTCTAGTGCTCGTGTTACAGCAGCTGCTTTATGTTTTCCCCAGAAGTTTTTCAAATACTATCAGAAACTCATACTGTAAGAGTGAAACCCAGAAGGATCTCCACTTTCAACATCTGTCATCTGAGAGACAGATACGTAGATGCTGATGAAAAGTTTACCTTTGAGGAAAAGTAAAGCAACTACATGTGTAGTTCTTTATTTACAGTTTTGGTGGTTTTGTGAAGTCCTTGTAAAGTTATGTAGAGTGTCTCTTAAAAGAGTTTGTGGCAAGAAAAGTTATTTTAACAATCAACAATTGCATCTCAACCTGTGTAATACAACTTACTCTGTGGTTTTTGTATCAGTATATTGGTCCACCATTGCATTTCATACACCATCTTTTACAATTAAAGAGTCAGTTGTATTTGAACCTGTGTTTTAAAGGCATCATCACTCTTTTTTTATTTGACTTTGCATGTTCTGTAACATCAGAGAGGTGAAACTCAACCAAATACAACTTTCCATTACTTCCCTCTTCTTATGATATATATTGCTGTGCATCAGGCTTGTTGTAACTCAACAGTCTAAATTCTCATATTTGAAATCTTGTAGGTTCGAGATGAAGAACCCAATGCTCGACAGGCCTGGGTCAAACCAGGGTAAGTCACTGTTTGGTCAGTTTGCTCACACACAATTTTGGAAATAATGTTAGGTATTCTTAAATAATAACTGTAGTAGCAATACACTTGCATATTAATACAAGTGTGGCTATAGTATTGCGACCCTGTTGTGATGACTGTGAAAATGCCCTGTTGTGTTTTTGTATGTGAGGACTTTTTTATTAACTTTAATACTCTTTTTGATGGTACATAGTGGTGGATCTGGTCTGTATGGAATTGACAGCATGCCAGACCTGCGTAAAAAGAAGCCTATCCCCTTGGTCAGCGATGTGGTCAGTACTAACCTATAACTAATGTCACTCCTTCACTATATATACTGTATGTCATATGTCATCCTGTTTGTTTTGTTCTTTCTTTGTGAATGCATGTCTTTCTGTGTATGAGACCACCACAGAAGTCACAGTTATTCTTTTACCTTTGAGCTGAATTTGGGATGAGATTGTTATCAACAGATGGAGACAAATATGAAATCAGACTGCTAATTTCTCTCTCCCTCCTCTCTTAAACCCGAAACTATTCCCCACAACTCTCTTGAATGCATACACTCTCCTTGGTCAGGCTATGGTAAGTTAATAGAACCCAGTTGCCACTCCCTTTTGCAAAATATCAAGTAGGACAAATAAAACAGCAGTTGCCTCAAACATTTATGCCTATAGCATGTTGATCTCTCTGATGGCAAACCTCTTGTTTTATACAAATAAAAAAAAAACATTTGCATGCATTCTCTTGGTCATGGGTAGCTTTTCTTCCTACTTGATATTATCATTATGATATATAATCACCAAATCATTCCCCCACTTTTTGGTTTGTATTTTCCTTCACCTCAGCCATGTAGAGGCAAACAATAAAGGCACACGAGTAGAATATGCTACTAACACTGTCACAAAAATGTTTGGATGATGGTTTTGTTATTATTTTACAGTGTTGATACTGGTATAACTTTATCCTTTTTAGTAATTTCTTCTTCACTAGTTGCCTAAAGCTAATAATACTCACATGGGGTTTACGCTCATCGGTTGAGAATTCATCAGTGGGAAAAAAATACTTTATTAACCCTACTCACCACCCTTACAACCACCCCAGCCACCTTTTTAACCATACTGACCTTCATTGTTCTAGTAAGGTGCTTGGGTCGTGGGTTGTGTGTGCTTTTAATAGACGCTAAGTTGTTGTAGGTGCTTTTAATAAATGCTAACTTAGCCAAAATGTCCTTTGTCATCTGTTGTTCAGTCCCTTGTCCAAGCCAGGAAGGCGGGGATCGCTTCTGCTATGGCTGCACGGTCCTCAATCAAGGATGAGGAACTGGTGAGTACAACACTATATACTTTCTCTGCCTTCATAATTGGATGATAATATCATCCGTTCCCCCCAAAAGATTTTAATGGTGATTTAATAAACCAGTGCACATTTCACATGCTTGTGGTGCTGTAGGTGCTGTGTGCCTTCTCTCTTACCTGCCATTTCTCTCCTTATAAATGAAACAGGAAATCCATACATTTAAAAAATGTCTCCCCTCTGTAGAAAAACCATGTGTACAAGAAGACCCTTCAGGCCCTCATCTATCCCATATCCTGCACTACACCACATAACTTTGAGGTGTGGACTGCCACTACGCCCACATACTGCTATGAGTGTGAGGGGCTGCTGTGGGGAATAGCCCGCCAAGGCATGCGTTGCTCCGAGTGTGGGGTCAAGTGTCATGAGAAGTGTCAAGAGCTGCTAAATGCTGATTGTCTACAGCGTGAGTACTGAATGTTGTTGAATATAAAGGATTCTGAGCAGTTGACCAGTTTAACATATTTCCTCACATTGACAAGCTTTCATTTCCTTAAGAAAATGTTAATAGCTTAGGTATCTCTTCACGTGCACTGCTACTAGTGAGACAGTATTTTTTAAAACTTTTGTTAAATTATTTAGGTGCTGCTGAGAAGAGCTCTAAGCATGGAGCTGAAGACCGGACTCAGAATATTATCATGGCCATGAAGGACAGGATGAAGATCAGGGAAAGGAACAAACCAGAAATCTTTGAGCTTATCAGGGAAGTATATGTCATCAGCAAAGCCATCCATGCGCAGCAGATGAAGACTATCAAGCAGAGCGTACTGGACGGCACCTCAAAGTGGTCAGCCAAGATCACCATCACAGGTATAAACTTAAAGTTTACTCCTCAGCATCGATCTCAGCAGTACCACAGGCGATTCTTAGTAATGCTAATTTTTGTTCGTTTTGTCTTTGGCGCAATAGTCGTTTGTGCTCAAGGACTTCAGGCAAAGGACAAGACAGGATCCAGTGATCCATATGTCACTGTTCAGGTGGGCAAGACCAAGAAGAGAACCAAGACCATTTATGGCAACCTCAACCCTGTCTGGGAGGAGAAGTTCCACTTGTAAGTCATCAAAATGTCTTTGTTATCAAATGTGTGTATAAATGTAAAACTTCATTCTTGCGCAAGGGTCTTCCTAATAGAGTTAGTGTGTATGTATAATAGCAGGGCATACACTAGCCTGGAGTCAAAGACCACATATTGCCGTCATGCTTGTTCTTTATAAACACTACCAAGGAATTGCATCCTCTAAAATATTATTCTTTAGTTGATGTTTTTCTTCATTTTCTGTTTTGCGCTAGTGAGTGCCACAATTCCTCAGACCGAATTAAAGTACGTGTGTGGGACGAGGATGATGACATCAAGTCGAGGGTGAAGCAGCGTCTGAAGAGGGAATCTGATGATTTCCTGGGCCAGAGTATAATTGAAGTTCGAACACTGAGCGGAGAAATGGATGTCTGGTACAACCTTGGTCAGTATGCTGTGTTCTTTATGGACATACAGTAAAAAGTATACTGTTTGTATACCAGGAGTGAAATGAAATATGGTCTGTTTTATTGGTGTGTAGATGTGAAGGACTTAATGGAACCAGGTTATAACTCAGTCACAAACTTAGAAACTCTCTCATTCACGTGTGATAGCAGCAGAGATGTAGTGTTGCCACAACAGGCAAAGAAAGTATATAATACTACAAGTAAATAATAACTGCTACAACTTTAACTCTTGCAGGTATCAAGAGTAACAGCTACATGTTGTTTCTCTTGGTAGTCTAATAGTGAGAAACACAACTTCTTGGATCCTAAAATATTACAGTATAAAGATATTTTATCCCAGGGCCCTTAGATCATGACATACATCATGTTGTTCCTCATGTGCCATGTCTTTTTTACTTAATACTACCTCAGGCATTTTCTCCCTGGCATGCAAGGAAATCATCTACAACAAGCTAGATTTTATTGTACGTGACTTTCTCTTAATGAAGGATGGATCTGCCTCTGATGAAGCGTACAGTCTTACCACATTTGTGTGTTTGTGTTTGGTGCCAAGAGTTCCATTTTCAGTAAGTCCAGTCAGAAGCTCATTACCCACGTCTCCTTTGCCTGCAGCAGTTTTTTTTTCTTTTTTTTTACAGAGCCAATGAGTGGCCCCAAGGCGCATATTGGCCTGCTTGAAAATAGTGGCTTTTCCTGGCAAGCTTATTCTATGAAGTCCCTTTGCACTTGCTCATTTTACGATAAATAACTTGTTTCATTATAATCCCAAGTACTATTCCACAGGGTGTGAAGATATTTTCATTAGGATTAGGCCTGAGTTCTGTCTTACAAGTACACAGGAACTGATGTATCAGTCTCTTTTGCTTTTTTGTATTAGCACTGGTTGTACAGCACAAATGAAGGTAGCAGTGGATACATCTCAGGATTATATCTCTTCCTGATTGTGTCAGTTTGATCATGCAGACAAACTGCATTGTCTTTGGAATTATATTTCTGAATTATCTCTGTAAGATCTGCCTCCTGTGTTGTTTGGTGTTGTCAGTTGACAGCTTTTATCCAGACATCAACTCACTGTTGGTCTATGAACACTTCTAAATTGATAGAGTAACTCACCCACCATTACATAGCATGCATTAGCATTATGCCATACTGTTTTGATGTCTGTCTAAAACATCTCTTGTGTCTACTTGATTAAAGTGCTAAAATTTACACTGTGGCAATAAATAAATCTGCCACTGGAACAGCATGGCAGTGAATATGAATGTGCCTATAAATCTGCTGTTGTTTCTTTTAAACTCTTGAGACATGAATGCACGATTTAATATCCATCTGATAATTACATGAACAAAATACCCCCTTTCAGAATCATTAGGAATTAGAATTTGAAGCAAAATTAATGATCAATCATGTTATGTGCCCGATCCATTTAAACCATTTTCCCTTCTTCATCTATATCTTCTTGTGCTCCAAAGCACCCCTCCCCTCCCTTCCTTAGTCTCCCCCTTTCTCCTCCTGATGTGTGATTATCAAGTAGCAGCACTCCAGTCGGAAATCGACCGCTCCGCCGACATGTACAAATTACCCCTAATGATGTGCCTGTCAGGGCAAATAGCAGGGGTGAGCCGCCAAGCACTCCACCTCCAGAGAAGCTCCGGCTCAAGTGTCTTCAGTGATCAGCCACAGACCCATACAGCCCACTGCCATTGTCTCCCTCACTATCAGCTGGAGGACTTCTATTAGCTCTGCACTGCCATCAAACTGTAGAAACAGAACCCCCTACAATAGAACTGCCATGTTAATAGTCAGTAATTACTGTTGTGTTAACAGACCTGGTTTCATGTGCGTCCATGTCACAGATTTGGATTGGAGTTATGAATCAAGAACGTGTGTATTTGTGTTTAATTACAGAAAAGAGGACAGACAAGTCAGCTGTGTCAGGTGCCATTCGCCTCCAAATCAATGTGGAGATCAAAGGAGAGGAGAAAGTGGCTCCATATCATGTGCAGTACACCTGTTTGCATGAGGTATTTGATTCTACAATAACCTAAACACCCAGGCTAGTACTTATACCTTAAGCTTTCAGGAGTGCGTCAGTGAGGTAACAGTCACAACAGGAATCTTTAATAGCCATTTAAATGACATTAACACAATGTTTCTGTCCATTACAGAACCTGTTCCACCACTCCACTGACGTGCTGGGCCAAGGTGTGGTGAAAATCCCAGAGGCACGTGGAGATGATGCGTGGAAAGTCTACTTTGACGATGTGGGGCAAGAAATAGTGGACGAGTTTGCAATGCGCTATGGGATTGAGTCAATCTACCAGGCCATGACGTGAGTCTGACATATCACAATGGACAGAAGAACACACTCACTAGCTCTCTCTTTCTACCCGTCCATGTGTTTGTCACCTCCTTACCCCCCCTTGTTACTGGCCCTCCCTTTATGCCTTTTGCAGACATATCAAAGTCCCTCTCAATGCTGTTCTCATTGCCTGTTTGCCTCCAAATGAAAGAAAATCCATTATAAATGGGATGAGGATGGATTTGTCTCTTTGAAATGTCATGCTCCATACAGATGCCTGTTAGGGCCCATCATTCACAGAGAGCACACTCCAATTGGCCATCCTTCAGCCTAAATGTGCCAGCTAGCTGATGGCCAGATGAAATGACTGTTCGTAATAGGGATCATTTAGTGAAAACAAGGACACAGGCTGACCAAATAAAGGCACAGCTATGACGTGTCTTTGTAAATGGGAGGAAGAGGAGGCCTGCTGCTCAGGTCTTTATCAAGCTTTGCTTATGCTTCTCTTTCCAGGCACTTTGCCTGTCTATCGTCTAAGTACATGTGTCCCGGGGTTCCTGCAGTGATGAGCACCCTGCTGGCCAATATCAATGCCTTCTACGCTCACACAACCGCCTCCACCAATGTGTCCGCCTCCGACCGCTTTGCTGCCTCCAATTTTGGGGTTTGTATTACTGTAGCACACACACATACACACATACAGGCAATAAATATGTCTTGTCTCTGTGTTTTTGCCTCCCTCTTCCTTTCTCTACTAGTTATACATACACATGTGTATGCAGCTTTTCTTTCTGCTTATTGTTGTGTACATATCCACTTAATACTCATATAATCTCTCTTTTTTCTTTTATTTACAGAAAGAACGCTTTGTGAAGCTTTTAGACCAGTTACACAACTCCTTGCGCATTGACCTCTCAACCTACAGGGTAAATTTTAATTGTACTAAATAAATAGCACTGCTATTAATGACTGATATTGTTCTCAAAAGGTATACTGTTATTATTATTATTATTATTATTATTATTATTACTGCCTATGACATCAAAATATCGTTTAGCAGTGTCGATAAATAACTGTAATAACTTGTTTTTGTGAATTTAAGGTATACATTAACCCATGTAAAGTTTGCAAATTGCACTACCTACCAAAGTCCTTAAATGAGAAACCTTGTAGTCTAAGGTTTTAATCTATATTTTGTGACATGTTACTTATTCATTTAATGTCTGTCTGCAAGTACAAACTGTGGCAGGAATCTGATTTCCAGTCTTGAACAGGAGTGAAGAGCATAATTTCTCTACACTTGCCTTATTGATATGTACTATACGCCCGTAATGGTCTTTAATTATGTTGAATTTATTAAATGAAACTTGTTTTTCTTGTCTGTAGAACCACTTTCCTGCCAGTAGCAAGGAACGCCTGCAGGATTTGAAATCCACCGTGGACCTTCTTACCAGCATCACCTTCTTCAGAATGAAGGTAGCTAAAAACATTTAATCTATTGTCACCTAGTTACTGTAGTTGCTCCCTATAAGATCTTAGCAAATACATTGCTTTTAAATGGGAAAGTATTCCATGTTTGAACTCTTTCAATGCAGGACAACCCTGTCGTCAGGTACTCTAAAATACTGCTTGCAGTCATTGACAGCCAGTGTTTCTATCTCCATCTGCTATTCAGGTCCAGGAGCTACAGTCTCCGCCTAGAGCCAGCCAGGTGGTGAAGGACTGTGTCAAGGCCTGCCTCAACTCCACATATGATTACATCTTCAATAATTGCCACGAGCTGTATAGCAGGCAGTACCAACCTGTTGACACAGTGAGTCATTGTCTTAAGCCTGACTGCAAGGCATTGCAGTGACTGTATGTTTACTAAAGCAGAAATAAAATCCATTATATTGATTGTGTTTAACCTCTGTCAAGTTCTCTTTGAGTGAGTGACTGACTGTGTGTTGTGTTCTAATCTAGAACAAGGAGGATCTCCCACTGGAGGAGCAGGGTCCGAGCATCAAGAACTTGGACTTCTGGCCCAAACTCATCATGCTCATTGTCTCCATCATTGAAGAGGACAGGAATGCCTACACACCTGTGCTTAACCAGTTAGTAAATAAATGTTGATCATATTGAGAGTAGGAGGAGATTAGTTAGCTCAAGATGTACACTTAATATGAATGCTTAAATCATGATACTTTTTTATATATATATATATATATATATATGATGATGTTTGGTCTCAGAAATCTAAGTCACAAGTTTGTCATATTGTTGCCTCTCTCTCAGATTCCCTCAAGAACTGAATGTAGGGAAGGTGTCGGCGGAGGTCATGTGGACATTGTTTGCTCAAGACATGAAGTATGCTATGGAAGGCAAGTCACACTCATTGTCATATATCCTTTATCCCACTCATAGTCGCTTGCTGTCTATCAGTGACACACAGAAGTGTACAGTATCATCATTTCTGCATGATGAATTGTTCGGCTTTTTTATGTTTTGCTCATGTTTTCATTTATTAGAACTCTTAATACCATCATTTTCAAGCGAGACATTTTACGCTGGCAAAAACCACCAGCTCCAAATCTAGTACAAAACATTGTCTTAATGTACTGTGAATACTGTAGGTATTGTAATGTGTCTCTTGCTTCACACTCTTGGCTCACTAAATAATATACGATAGTATTAGCATATATGTGTGTGCAGTATCCTATACTTACCAGATACGTATTTATTATACTGAAACTGGAAATGGCAAGAAGAAATGAGAAGTTCTGGGGCAAAAATGATAACGTGGCATGGAAGAAGTGAAAGAGCGAAATAATAACTGCAGTAATAACTGCAGGGTTTGAAAGCTGCTTATGTCTCCTAGGAGCCTCTCTGTGATTTTTCTCTGCTCTACTGTACTGTACAGAACCACCAGTCCCCAGAGGCAGTCAGCTCTTATCCCAGCCCCTGTCCTCAAGATGAATCCCCTACAGAGACTATCACTGTGAAATATCTGTTTCACATACTCCAGCACAGAAGTGATGGCCCTTTCATTTTCAATCATGCATTAATATAAAAAGTGAAGGAAAATGTGTTCAGAAATGAGTCCTGAGAGATTTTGCTCCAGGAGCACTACCAAAGAGTTCTTCAAATTTAAATTTAAATTTAGTAGTAGTAGTTTTTAGTGGGTCACGAAAAAAATACTGAAGTGCCTGGTACTCAAAAGCTACTCATTATTATTGCTTATGCAAAATTATCATTACGAGCGTATACATGACATACAATCTTTGTTTGAATATAAAACCATCAGAGGACATTTTGTCCAGAGAAAATATTTTTAATACTGCTATTTTTATGGGGATATTTTATAATTATGCTTTGACTTTACAGCTTTTGGTAAATTTAGAGATGACTTTGTTTTAGGGTTAAAAGATAGGTACACATTATTTCAAGTCTGTCTTGGAACAATAATCCTGTTGGATATACATTAAAATCACTGTTGGTTGCTTTAATGGTTCCCCCTGTCCACCCTGGCCATGAATTGATCCCTTACTCCTCACATTTGCTTCTGCTAACTGTGGAATTATTTCTGTTTGCGGTCAGTAAAGTAAATGTTTTAATACTTTAAATGATCTGACCCTATCCTGTAATCCTAAAATTAGGATTATGCCATGTCTGGGTCAGATTAAAAATAAAGGTATAAAGGATAACATTTTAAAATGAAGGTAAAAAATGAAGCAGCAGAGGCTTCTGATGTTAGCCTGACGTTAAACGTACTACAACGAGTTTGTAACTGGTTAGGAAACAGTCTCAGTTTAATACTGATACCCCTATATGACCTTCAGGGAGAATATTTCTGTTTCTATGTAATTATTCTTAATTATTTATTATTAGTTATTATAGTATTCTGCTTTCATCAGTAGTATGTAGTACACAGTTTCGAATACAGCCTGAGTCACAGCCCAAACACACTTTATTCTACCCTTCCCACAATGCAACTTGATGGTATCTACCCAAGTCTCTGGCACAAGCTCACCACAATGCTCACAGGCTCTTCTTCATGTCTTTGTATGTGCAGAACACGAGAAGCACAGACTGTGTAAGAGCACAGACTATATGAACCTGCACTTCAAGGTCAAGTGGCTCTACAATGAATATGTCAAGGAGCTGCCAAATGTTAAGGGTGTTGTTCCCGACTACCCATCGTAAGTGCTTTTGACTTATTTTCTTTCTAACATAGTCATTGGTAAGGGATAAAACAGCAGTAAACCCCCTAATTTAAAGTTATTTAAAAATATATGTATTAACTCTGATTGTTTTTATTTTTCCTTGTAGATGGTTCCTACAATTTGTGCTACAGTGGTTGGAAGAAAATGAGGATGTATCTATGGAGTTTATGCATGGAGCCCTAGAGAGAGACAAAAAAGACGGAGTAAGAAAATTCAGATAAACCTTTGATATGTTGTTACCTCTGCCATGATTATGTTTTCATAATAATGGTAAAATGGAAAAGACCGAAGTCCATGTTTACAGACAAATACACAGCATCAGCATATCGGCTACCAGCTAGCATGTAGATATTTAAGTATTATTTATGTATTTGTCTGTGTTTTTTCCCTTGCCCACTCTACACCGTCTCAGTTCCAGCAGACGTCTGAGCATGCTCTGTTCTCCTGCTCTGTGGTGGATATCTTCACCCAGCTCAACCAGAGCTTTGAGATCATTAAGAAACTGGAATGTCCCGACCCTAACGTCATGGCTCAGTACAGCCGCCGCTTCTCCAAGGTAAACCCACTTCACTAGATGGTGACGCCTAACACCTGCTCTCAAGTACACTACATTGATTTGATCTTTTAAGTTGCTGGAGCTACATTAAACATGTTGCGGTTTTGGGTCTAAAATATCCATAATTGATAATGCATTGACTGTCAGGGATCATGTTGGCCTTTTTCTTCCAAAACCAGCTCATGACTGTGACTATTTTCTTTTCTTAGAATGATTAAAACATATGAGGGAAATTACAGAACAGCTACACCATTGTCTAGAGGCAAATTCACATTTTTTGTTAAGGGAATTTGTCATTTGCTCATTAAAATAAATGTTGAATTGGGCATAATACCCCCTTCCTGGGGGGGATGGAGGGACAGCACAGTTTTGTGTTTCCAGGTTTTCCTTCCTGCATGCCGGAGAATACATTAAGGGACATCTGGGAATGTTTATAATGCTGTAGAGAGATGATCTTTGGGACATATTCCCTGAAAGTCCAATATAATCCCCTCTGTCAACATTGTAAAAGTAATTGGATATAAAACTGTTAAATTGTTTCAAATAAAATGTTGTTGCTGCCACAGTTTTAATGTATTTCTTCCTCTTCATCTTCAGACTATTGCCAAAGTTCTCCTGCAGTACAGCGCCATTCTGACCAAGAGTTTTCCTTCTTATATCGACAAAGAGAAGATTGTAAGTTGTCACCTTTTATAGCATCATCATTTTGTGAAACTTATTTTATGCGTTATACAATATGCCATTTCGAAGTCATTGCTGTTGTTTACTTATTAATTCCCGTCTCCTGCTGTCTGTCGTCTATGTCGTAGAACTTCTTTTTGACTTACACTTGTGTTTCCCAAGTTTAATAATTACCTAAATAAAAACTAATATATGTATTCTTTGTTTAAAAGATAACTTACACAGCAGTCATTGCAATCACTTTCAGATACTGAATAGTTCCTGCATGTGTGTAATCTCTCTGTCCTCTTGCAGCCATGTGTCCTGTTGAATAATGTGCAGCAGTTAAGAATCCAGCTGGAGAAGATGTTTGAGTCAATGGGTGCCAAACAGGTAAGTCTAATGACAAAGGTGTGGATGAATTTGCTATGGCGTTCTTCTGGATGGAGGAAAATATCCAGCATGATACTGCTGATGCCTTAATAGCTAAAAAAAGAAGATAAAATGACTAATAGATTATGCATATGATATTTTAGGGGCGATTACTTGTACAACAGTTGTATCTGTGTCTCTCGCATATCAGATTGCAACAGAAGAAGCGCGGGTATGTACAGTAGTGGTAGTTCAGAGCCTATGAAGGATTAGACAAGGCCATAGTGGAAGTTGTTCGTGCTGTGAATGCTATTTTATGTTGCATTCAGGTTGTTAGAATGGTCTATATGCCCTCTCGGTGTCTGATGTGATGCTGTACCATAGATCAACACTGACAGAGATTAAACCCTGCACTGCCTAATGGGCTAGGACATATTGAGGCGGAGACTTAATTAAATCATGTCCTCTGTATTAGTGTCCTTAGTATAGCTACAGTAAGGACAATCAATAGCTCCTTTTCCAGCTTTGACCTCCCTCTGCTTTGAATCCATACTATGCTTTTAATGTAGCTGTAGCATAGTATATATTGTTGTAGTGCTAGGTCGGTTGTATGGTTGTAGCTGTTGGACACTGTAGTTAAAGTTTCAACCACTGTCTTCACTTAAAATTCAAGCAAGATGCAGAAATTGTGGAAGAGGAAGAGGAGGCAGGAGAGGAGGAGGTAGGTTTTCATCATAATCTGAGCAGGGCTTAAACAGGCATTTATACATATGAAAGTACATCTTTAAGTTGTTTAATCAGTTTATTGGTGTGCAGTACACCCCTGTATTGATTTTTTTCCCCCCCTCTTCGTCTGGCTTGGACAGCAGGCCGCGACTGAGAAAGAGGAAGCAAAGGCTGTGGTGGGTACTGTGGATGGTAGCGGTTTAGGTTCTTAAGTAGTAGTTTGAACTTAAGTGTAGAGACCAATAGATCCCCAATCTTACATAGCCAACCCCTCTTCAGCATTGACAGTAGCTTAACTGTTCTAGTCTAGTAGCTTTTGCTAATAGAAAAAAAAAAAGATATAACCCGGGAAATGAGTTTGCATTTTTGCCCTTGTCTCAAAGCCACGTTGAACAAAAAGACTAATCTTCTCACTAGTCTGTCTTTACAGCCTTGTTGTGTTTACACTTGCACTCTTACAAACTGTTCTGACTCAAACTTTCCAACTTGTAGAAATTTAATTACACATTTAATTACAAGTTGAAAGTTTAGTGGTGGTGATGTTGAAGTCATGCAGCCGTGGTGTAGTTGCAGCACTGTATTAGGACTAAACTAAAAAATCTTTACATAGAAGCTCATGGTAGTGCTAGAGGAAAAGTCAGGTTTACCAAGTCATTAGAGAATCATTGTCTGAGAACCAAAATGTACAGAATTGTGGTACTATCCCTACATAATAGGATACACAGGTGGAAAAAGTCTTTTCATGGCTAATAATAATAATTGGTTGGTGTTTCTTTCAGTGTTAGTATTCCTGAACCTGCTTGATTTTAAGCTTTATCTTAAGTTAGTAGTTTGGAAAAGTCACATTGAGGAAAGTTTTCTTCTAATTTTGCCTGTCCAATGATTATCGCATCATGTCATAATGTGGTGGAAGTGAAAAGATGTTACACGTGAGAGATCACTAGAGTTTGTGTCTCGAAGTGAGTGGCTTATTAACATGGAGGGAAATCCCGAGAATGAGAAAAGGTAGAATGGTAGAATGGTGTTTGAGGATCATATTACAGTACTGTCTGAGATATGCTAATTAATTACCCTTTGCAGGAGTTGGGGGGGGTTTCCCTGGTTTTTTAGATTTAGCTACCCTCATTTTGTAATGCGGAATAACAAACTGAATTGCATCAATGTCAGTATTCCATCAAAATAGATATTATTATTATTTTACATGTAACAGCTAGGGAAAAATCAAACCAGATTAAATCTGGCATAATTATTTAAAACATGGAACAGATCAATAAATAAAACAATACAATTGTATAATATATTAACAAAAGAAGATATTTTTTTAGAAGAGTGAAGTAACAATATTTTTCCTCTCTTTCCTAGTGCAACAATAGAATGCTAGCATGGCAGGCAAGTTCACTGTATATGCAGGCATGTTTCGTGATACATGACTGCATATACTCACATGTTCATGTCACTACTTGTGGAAATATTGCATCACTTGTAATATTTATTTGGAAGTAGAGACGCCGAAATTAGCTTGAAAGAGCATCCTTTTGTTGAATGTGGTTGTGGTGTTTGCAGCAAGGAGACTGAAACTTCATTATTCTGTGTTGTCTTTTCACTGCCCCTCCTAGTTTGAGGAGAGTGAGGAGGAGGAGGAGGAGGAGAAGGAGGAGGAGGAAGTAGGGGAAGCAGGGGAGAAAATTGAGGTTGAGGTTTGTTACAGTCTGAAGTGGTTTTAACCTCTCATTCTCGTCCATCGTTCTTCCTACTCCCAGCAATATCACAGTGATTCTCAGTCCTACTAAAACAAGACGTCCCTGTGGTTATCATGGTGCAGTTTATTGTGTGCAGTTTTTACCGTCATCTGTGGTGATTTCCACCTCGAGTTTTCACCTTCTAACAGTGGCATTTTCCCTGACTTTTCCTCTAAACTGCTCACTCATGTCCCCCGAAATACAAAACTTTTTATTGTATCTTTTCTATAACTTATGTTTTCTTTGTAACTCTTTTTTTTTGTCTGCAATAGACTGACACAGAGAAGGTGGGTGCCAGTGTTATAAACAGAGCATAATGCTTTCCAGTGTGATAAAACCTGCAGTATTTGTGGTGTTGTATGAAAGTTTAATTTCAAGTGGCTCTTAGTAAAACCTAATGTTGGAGATCCTCTAGTATTTATTTGTTGCCTAGTTGTTTGATCACATAGTTCCTTCAGTGTTGTCACAACAGAACAGGATTTTGTTTTGACGGTTTTTCATTTTATTTCTGTTTTCAAAAAAAAAAAAAAAAAAAAATCCTACCACACATAGATGGATGCTCCGGTAGAAAAGGTAGGTTACGTGCACACCTAGGGTTTATCTGCTGCCACAGCACTTTACATGATGACCATCAATCCTCTGTAGTTTCCCACATGATATAAATGAACATCAAATTCCAAATGGTAAATGACTTCATTGAGTTAATTGAGGTTGTCCTCTGTTACCCTCCACCTGTCTGTGCTGTCGTAGACTGAAAGCGCATTTGAAGACAAGAAGGTGAGTGTAGGTGTACAGACTCATGCATATTAATATCCCCATGCGTACAAAAACACTCTCAGGCAAAACAAAAAGCATACAGCACATTACAAACAGAACACCATCCATTTCTAGCTGCCTTTTTGTCCCCCAAAGCCTTCCCTTGTGCTGCGTAGCAGAAATGTTTCAGTCTTTCCTCACTAATGGTGCTATGCGGCCCTGACAAACCATGCATCAAAAGGCCAATGGATCATTGACTTAATGAGCCACACCATGGCTTCATCCGTATGGCTTAGCTCCCCTGCAGGCTGTGCTTATTTAGATGATGCCAAGGTATACCTGTGTTAGGTATACTGGAGTTAATTCATGGATCTTTCACTTTCCTACTTGTTCCCTCACCCTGTGCTTGTGAGACTCACTACTTGTAAGACATACATCTCCTGCGGCATTAAACTTTAAACTTTTTTTCAATGCACTCCCTTTGAAAGTTGGAGACTGCTGGTAAAAAGGTGGGTTTACTCAGCTGTATGTGTTCAATTGTATTCATTTTTTTTCCTACAAACTACAATCATGGTGCTTGTGATGGACATTTCTCAGCTACAGGAGTACAGAATACAAACAATACAGGACACCCTCTCCTACCTTTTACTTTGATTCCCTTGTTATGAAGCGAGACAGATCGACTGTCGCCAGTGTGCTTTTATCAATCAAATCCTCACTAACTGGATTCTGTCTGCTTGCCTTTTTGCAGATGGACACAGAGGCCAGTGACTTACTGAACGACCTGCAGGTGAAGCTGAACAACGTGCTGGATGAGCTCAGCAGCACATTCGGGAACAGGTAGCCTAATCCTCACCCCTAAACAGACACACAACCACACACACTTGCATACATTTACAGTTAAATCAGTAACATCACAAGCATTTGTGTTGATAGATCTTTTTTTTTTTTTGTCTCTTTACAGTTTCCAGAGCCGTATCAATGAATGCATGCGACAGATGGCGTCTCTGCTGTACCAGATCAAAGGACCGCTCAACGCCAACAACAAAAACCAGGTGGACGCCGACTCTGACAACATGCTACGGCCACTCATGGATTTCCTGGATGGAAGGTGAGTGGATTAACTAAGATTTGAGACTGTTTGATAATATTACCATGTTTTTAGCCACTTCGATAGGTGCAATCTCCTCCGTCTATTTATTTATTGACGCCCTGTATATTAATTCATTTCTGTCCTGTTTGTTGTTTCCTTTTTCTTCTTTCGTGTCCTAAATCTCTGTCCCGATTATGATCCAGCAGAAATAATTTAGTTTTTAGAACAATTTTCAACCCTACTTGCACCAATTAGGGTTAACACGCTCTCATCAACTTGTGTCTATGTATTTGTGTGTGTTTGCATGTTTTTTGCAGGCTGACACTGTTTGCCACCGTCTGTGAGAAGACTGTACTGAAACGTGTGCTCAAGGAGCTGTGGAGGATTGTAATGAGCAGCCTGGAGAAGACTATTGTCCTGCCGCAGGGGAACGATACCTTTGTAAGCTCAACAACATGCAGCATCATCAGTCTAATGTTTGTGTGTGTGACTTCGAAGTGCAGAAATGAAACGAGAAAAAGAGCAGCAACTCAAATTTCATATTTTTCTTTGTTCTTTTTTTCCAGGGTGCACAGATTCTCTCAGCTGCAAAAGAACTGGGTCAGCTCTCCAAACTCAAGGTATTTTAACGCCTTCATATGTTTAACACCATGTTAAATGTCCCCCTGTGGCTCAGTTTCACCAAACTCTGACCACAAAATGACTCATTGAGAGGAAGTAAATCTATTTTTGTAGAATTAACCAATCTGTTTGCATGTGCAGGATCACATGGCAGGGGAGGCTAAAAGCCTCTCTCCCAGGCAGTGCGCTGTCATGGATGTGGCACTGGACACTATCAAGGTCAGTTTATACTGCGGGTTTTGGTTTCATTAGGATGCCAGGGGTAGACGGGTCAAATTAGCCTCATCAACTATTCATCCATTAATCAGGGACCCTGAAAGGTTATGTAAGCGGCTTGTGACCATAAGTTGTGTGATTTAACAGGTCAGGGGAAAGTGTGTGTAGGGTAAAGTGGTTGAAATGAGGGGTGAATTTTACAAAGCAGGATTAGTGGCCAGATAATTTTGGAAAGATTAATTTGGTTTAAACCTAACCTTCAGTTTTTACTCTTTAGTTTCAAATCATGGAATTGCAGTTATCTTTTTCCAAATTAAAGGAAAATTCTGTCCATTTCAAGCTCGGACCTTATTTGCTGCCACAATTATTGATTGTATTCAGAATGCAATAAGTTGACTTCACTGTGAGACTCAACATGTATCTACCAGGAGCAAAAACCTCACCTTGTTTACTTGTTTAGCTGCTGATCTCTGTAATGTTCTTATAACACTGAACACCCCCAAACCATCAAACTTGAATATATCCTAATATTTTGACCAAAATACAACAAACCTCCAGTTGTTCTTCCAGATGTTTAAGTGCTGACTCACCATCTGTTTCCTTTTTATAGCAATACTTCCATGCAGGAGGCAACGGGCTGAAGAAGGCATTCCTGGAGAAGAGTCCTGAGCTGTCCTCACTACGCCACGCTCTGTCCCTCTACACCCAGACAACAGACACGCTCATCAAGACCTTTGTGACCACCCAACATGCACAAGGTACTTCAGACCACTGCTTTAATAATACATCTAGACCAGGAGAGGGCACTATGTGCGTGTTTGATAATGGAGGCTTTTCACTGAATACTTTTAAGGTTTGCATCTGTATTTTGTGTATTTGTTGTTGATGCTGACATGTTATTGCTGTTATCTCTTTATCTCCTGTGCTGCCTGCGTGCCAGTGCACAATGGAAAGGGTATTCGGTTAACTCCCAATGAAAAAATACAGCCCAGCAGGGGTAGGTTTCATTGATCTGCCAGCCCTCCCCTCCTTCCCCACCCGCTCTCCCTTTGTACATTTTGGTTCTGTCACTCTGTGCTGCTAAGGTGGGTGGGGCTAACCCTAACCCAACCTCTCCACCTTCTCATACTGACTCTGCAATGTCAATGAATGTTTCTTTCCGCCTTATCTGTAACAATTTAGCTAATTTATGTATCTGGATGTACCTTAAACCAGGTTCAGGCGTGGACAAGCCAATAGGTGAGGTGGCTGTCCAGATCGAACTGCACACTCATCCTGGCAATGGGGAGCGGAAAGTGTCCGTCAAAGGTCTGGTTGAGTTTTCAAACCATGATGCTAAATTCATACATAAAATACATAGCCATGTGTTCCCTTCTGATTACATCATCCTCTTCCTCTGTGTATCTGTGTTTTTACACATTTAGTTGTGGGAGCCAATGACCTAAAATGGCAGACGTCCGGCATGTTCCGACCCTTTGTGGAGATCACCATGTTCGGGCCTCACCTCAGCGACAAGAAACGCAAATTCCAGACCAAATCCAAGAATAACAGCTGGTCTCCCAAGTTCAATGAGAACTTCCAATTGTAAGCATTCACTGCTTTTTAAGTTATACAGATGTGTAGATAGGTCTTTTATATTGTTTTTGTTATTCAGCAGCATCAGTATCTATGTAAAGGTTTCTCTTTCGTTTACAGTACACATGTACAGTATGTTTTCCACAGTCACAGCGACATGAGGAAACTTGGTAACTAGTTACCCCAACTGGCTCTAAGAAGCAGATATTTAAAAAATGTGACGCTTAGAATGATGTATGTGACATCAGATTTCATAGAGCTGCAACAATTAGTTGCTTTATCGATTAGTCCATCGACAGAAATGAAAGAATGAAAACTTCTTGTCTAGTGCAACATTAAGTTTACTAACCAACTGTTGTGTTATTGAATGACTGAATGCTCATCTGTGTTCCCTCCCCACAGTGTTCTGGGTAAACAGGAAGGCTTCGAGTGCTACGAGCTGCAGGTCTGTGTCAAAGACTACTGCTTCGGCCGCGCCGACAGAGTGGTCGGCTTGGCCGTGATACAATTGAGAGAAATCACTGGGAAGGGCAACTGCGCCTGCTGGTGCCCACTCGGCCAGCGCATCCAGATGGACGACACAGGCCTCACCGCCATGCGGATCCTGTCCCAGCGCTCCAACGACGACGTGGCCAAGGAGTTCGTGAGGCTGAAATCAGAGACTCGTTCGGCCGAAGAGGGCAGATGAGGAGAGCTGGAGATGGAGGGAGAAAGACTGAAAGGATGGAAGGTTTCCTAATTTAACAAAAGAGAATGATCTCATGTCGAAAAGCAGGGAATTATTTTCCGTAGACGGCCATATGGACTCTGTTAGACCCTTGATGTGTCTTAGCTGCTGTTGACTGTTTGGTGGCGCCTTGCCAAGCTCACCGACACACTGTCACGTTCACACTCTGGGTATTTTGGACAAACACGCTTTTAGTGTTCCTCAAACACTCCCATTAGTGTTTCTCAAACACTCCCATTATTTAACCGAGCTACTGTACAGCACACAACCACAGACACCGGCTCACTCAACCTTCACATTCACCAGCTGTTTTACTTGCCAGTGACCACGTACTCAGTCATTAAACCTTTTTTTTGTGTTTATTCTTTTACCCGTCCTTGTCAGTGTGCACGCCATAGCCTCAAGGGAACAGAGGATGCCAGGCCCCGCTGGAGGGCCCAAACAAGTTCCCACACCTCCCCCAGTGTTGTTGTGCAATAACCCCACCTAAACCCCTCAAACCGTGGCCGTGTGTTTGATGCCTTACACTCTACAAACTGTGAATGTGAAGTTAAAAAAAAAAAAGTCTTTTGAATGCCCTGTTCGGTAGCTCCACTGTGATGGTTTGAGTAAATGTGAAAGTACTGTATGGTTTATCTATGAAGGGGTCTTTTGTTTGATGAATGAATAACGTTCTAGTTTTTTAAGTCTTGTCAATTATTGAATAAAGTGGAAGTGAAGATGAGGAAAAGAAGCTAATTTTGTGTCACAAGAAGGTACTTAATGATGACCCATAATTTGACCCCTGAATTTAAAGGATTGTTCAATTAAATGTGTGCCTTGCCATGTTACGTTTCCATTCCTGTTCCCCCAGGAATGACAGCAGTGATTAGATCAGTAAATAATAAAGAACAAAGAACAACATGATTAAAATCAAAACCTCATGAGAAACAACACCAACCATGTGAACACTCATTCTGGCCATATTCATTTAGTATCAGCTCCATTAACAACTCTTATCTTGTGTTGGCCTGGTGTAAACCATAATGGTGCAGCCATTTTATTTATTTTTTATACATATTTATTTTGTTTTGTCTGTGCTTTTTCAAAGCCCACGATTTAAAATGTTGTTTACTGCCGAGAAACAGACATGTGTTTGAAGAATTTGCACAGAGGTTGCTGCTGCAGTGCTGTACACGTAAACTGCAGTTCAACTGAAGAGTTGCATACCAAGATACATACCCTCTGAATAAAGCGACAACCTAGTGTTTTTTATTAAATAAGCTGGCGACTTGTGTCCTCGACTTAAAATAGTGATAACCGTCTTTTAGAATTGTTCTTTTGTAGTGAAGAAATATTACATGTTGGAACTTTCAGGTAACAACTTTTTCTTCCAAAAAAAATATCTGAACATTTGAACACGAGCTCCTCGGCTACTGAGTTGATCAGGAGTGTAGATTTACTCATGGTTTACATATATCTTCCTGCTCTGTTTTCTTCTACTCTTCCTATGAGTGGCCTTACTTTGGTGAAAAAACAAACAAAATGTCTTTTTAAATCTTTTTTTTTTTTTTTTTAATCCTTGTATTTCCTTTGGCTCTCAGCAATGAGGATTGGCCACTTCTCTGCCCATAATGATGTCAAATCCAAGTGATGTTCCTCATCATTTTGTACTTTTTATCTTTGATGATATTACAAACGTTGTAGCTATATCTAGGCTGGGTTTTCTTAGCAGTCTGTTATATTTTGTGTTCTGTTCCTTTCCGGTGTTTTGTAAATGTTCATCCTTAATCCTCTTTAATAGTTTGGAATAATATCAATCACTGTATTGTAAGACATGTTTCAGTTTTATGGACAGGAGTCGTATACAGCAAGACGTGTGCCAGTGAATTTGTTCATAACTGAACTGAAGAATATTAAAATGTTACTCTTAATGAAGGACAGATATTGCTATAATGTGAGAACCTCAATGTGTGCACATTTTTAAACTGATCACACCCTGTAGAAATCACAAATTCACATTCCTCTTTGTTACAGTTCATTATCCTTTTGTGAATAATTTTTGTTATTGGTTTATGAGGGCAAATGTTTCAAAGCCATTCTGTAATATACATGTTCCTTGTGCCAAGTTGTTTTTTTTTTATTTCTACATTTTCTAAATTTGTTAACCCTTGCACTATCATTAAGTCACTGCAATAGTTAACAAGTACACTATATCAGTCACAGTAACTGAATTTTTGTGGTGTTTTCTTTGTATTGTCACTACTCTGAAATGTTGTTGTCACCATGTAAACATTCCAATTAATGAATTTTGCATAAAGTATTTGAGAAGTATCTATTAATGAGTCTACCTCTTCTTTTACAGTAGGATACGACATTGACTGCAGATTTTGATTGAAATGTTCTTAACAATTTAAATGTTTTTATTTATTTTCCACTTTAGTTGGAACTGCACCAATTAATTTCCTCTAGTTGAATGCAAGTGCAGTTTTTTTAGATTAGGAATACAGAGTCGGTAAGATTGCACTGCAGGGGAATAATCTTATTAATTAAATCAACTCGAGATTTATTGTCCCCTTCACCAACTGTAGCGAACATAAATTAAAGAATATGTATGTGTAATATGTATCAATATTTCATTCATAGCCATAACATCATGGAACTAGTCAGGCGTCTGACTGTCAAGACAAAAAGTCTAAGTTGAATTTTTCTGGTGGCAGCAGAAATCCAGGAGATATAATAGCAAAATGATCAATTTTTCCCCCTGTAATTTGGGTGAACTGACGTTTAAAAATGACTCAAATGTTAACATGGGACATCTTTTTTGCTGCAGGCAGCTGTAAGTATAATTTTTCACTTCTTGTCATATGTTTCGCGGTGTGAAAGTATTTACGTGCACAGGCAAAATTAAAAGCAAGTAAAACAATATTATGTATTATTATTTTGATTTTTGGTTAAGACTTCAGTCTTGAGTTCATAGATAATATTTTTAACTTTGTAGAAATGGGACAGATTCCTCCTTATTGGGGCGCAATCACTCACTGTAGACATAGACACACACTTAGATGTATTTAATTAAATCATACCGAACATACCGAATTATTGCACCAGAATCCCTAAATCAAATCAGAAAAGCCAGTGAGAATATTCCTATTGGTAACTCTTGTTCAACAGGCAGAGGAATTGCTTATGAAACTCAATTTGTTCTTTTGTTTACAGCCCAGGAAATTTTTTTAATCACTTTGACTGGAAATTGGACCACATAGCGTGCTTTAGTGTTTCCTGTTGAGGTCAGAGTTGCATCTTCCAATCATCACGTCTATTTTACCACTTTATGTGTATTTTTGTGCATGCACATCTGTGCACACTTGCAGGTAAAGGTTTATGTCTGTGTGCTTGCGTGCACACACACCTATCACACACACACACACAATAACTAATTTAGCAAGTGGTTCATGTTGAGGTCCCCTGGACTACACAGCGTTCCTTTGTGTTGGAGCCCAGGTATTAAATTCCATTTCTGAAAGCTGGTGGATGTGTATATCAGTCAGAGCTGTCATAACTCACTATTATTAAGTCATTTCTTTATCCTTCAAGAATGCAACAGATGCCTGGCTTTCTTGCACCTATGAAAGAGGCTGAATGTGACTAGGATTAAAGGAGCTGCTATTGAAAATATGGCAAAGATCAGTCCTCAGTCTGAGCATGCGCACCCATCACAAGGCGTGTTACATACCTGACCGCCCAGATCCCAACCTTAATGCTGGCCCTGATTGGCCACAGACATTCACCTGTACTGTTGTTTTACTGCCCCTCCACACCATCCAGGTCCAAAGATCGCTGCACTGTTTGCTCAAGCCCTGAGCTGTTAGGCGCAGGGGGATCCCAGCTCTTCCTGCACGAACCTGAAACCTCTACTGTAGGCGCCTCTCTCACCACTACACCACTTCACCTGTCGTCCATCCTGCGTGTCTTTCATCCGACTGGAGGCCCCAGTTGAACCCCCTTTCTCTGTGTGGGACTAGGTCGGAGCCTGGACGTCCAAACGGAGCACAGACGAGGGCCTGGATTTCCTTTATCTGAGGCGGAAGCAGAGGGAGGATTGTAACTTGTAGTTTTTCCCCCTCTCTTTTCTTTTGGCCTTGTGTTCCTGTGTCGATGTGTGGGCAGGACTTAAAGGACACAATAAATCACATTTTTGTTTGAGGTATGTGGCTGATTTTCATTTGCATTCAGGAACTGGGAAACATATGAAATACATGACTAATCAAAGTCCAAGCCTAGTGGTTTATCACTTTAAAATAACAATAACTTCAATTTCATAGTTGTGTGAGTACGAGTGGAACGATAACAGAGAGTTAAACATGCCAAATCAATTCTTCCTGTTCCGTTTTGGAAATGATCTGCTTTTCCAATATGCAGGAAAAACACTATTTCTGATTCTTCTGTTGTGTATTCGAGGTCTTTGAATTCTTGCTTGATTCTGAGCAAGTCAAATGTTCATGGTCATATCGTTATCTCAATCTTTGTGGTTATGGATTGTCTGCCATAGATCTCTTTCTGGTACAAAGGGTTGAGCAGGGAGTGGCTCAATGTCTTTACAGCTCTGCAGCACAGATAAAGTCTCGAGGATGTTGCCTGAAGAGAGACTCTCTTCCTGATCTAAAAAAGTCCAAATGTTGCCAGAGAGCAGTTGACTGCGATTACTCAGAGCAGCATGGATGGGAGGATGGGAATGAATTGAATACCTTTTTCCTGATTGTCTCAATGAGTCGTTACATTTGTCGTTTTTTTAGAAATAAAGCTGAAATAAAGAGAGCTGGAGAAGCGAAAAGTCGATAAATCTGTAGTGCTATTTTTATTGTCCCCGGGACAATGGGACATCCTTACTTTCGAGCACTGTAGCTAACGCGCCATTTTCCCGACACAGTTCCACATTTTCACTGCAGACTCAGGAATCACATTATATCTGTATGTATGCTGTGATGTTCGGGTGCTTTAGCTTACAGTTGGCTGTGAAAGCTAGAAGTCAAATGATGGTCTCCGGGATCAGGTAATCAGCCCATTACAGTAATAACATCACCAAATGTTAATGATGGAAGGGGACTCAGTGGACAAATCTTCCCTCATTTGCTCTTCTTCACGACGATGCATTTCAGCAGATGTTTCCTGTATATTGCAAATATCACTCAGTCCCTCTGCTAATACCTATATACAGTATATAGATATTTGCACTGAACCATAATAGTCGCATACGTGACCATAAATAAACTGGTTCCCCCTCACTTTTGCCACAGTTTCCCCTTTCAGTTGCTATCTCGGTGGAGTCTAGCTCTAAACAAATGGCTCTGTGCTTCACCGACTGTACACCACTCTGTGATAAGTACATGCTCTTTCTCTAGGTGTGAAATATGGAGACGCTGAGCTAAAGATGGGGTCAGTAGCGTCATACTTTGGCCAGTTGTGTGGAGGAGAGGAAAAGAAAGGTGAGGCCTGACGCTTATAAACTGCACTGCAAATATGAGTTCATCTTGTTCTGAGTGGGTGGACTAAAAGCACTCCAACGTTTTACATGCTACTTGTATTTGATGATTATAGTGACAGACCCTTTTCTCCCAATGCTGCTGCAACATCTTCATCCCTCTCTTGCTTTCAATCTATCATTTTGTCACAGAGGAGGAGAGACACTTGCGAGCTAACGACAGACCTTTCAACCTGTCTTACAACTATGCTGTAAGTAGAAAACAGTAGAAAGAAAAACGGTGTGTGTTCAACAGATAAGGTGGGGAGTAAACACCACTGTGGCTGTCAGCTATATTTGTCACGTGTCGATTTCCTCTGCTTCAGAACAATGCCATCAAGACCTCCAAATACAACATTTTCTCTTTCCTGCCCTGTAACCTCTTCGAGCAGTTCCGGAGGCTCGCCAATGCCTACTTCCTGTTCCTCATGCTCCTTCAGGTAGACATTTTTCTTCGTTTACCTCCTCTAGCGCTGTGATGGATGTTAATGTGGACTGTATATATACTGGACTTTCCACTGATTTAGCAAAATGTTAATCCACAAAATATTCCGAGAAGCAATTTGGCCTAATTTAGTTTACAGAATATGGGATTCCAGTGAAAAGATTTAATGCTACAGATTTAAGGTATTAAAGCATTTTAAATGTGTGTGTTCTGTTGACAGTTAATCCCACAAGTCTCCTCTCTCTCTTGGTTCACCACGGCTGTCCCTCTCATTTTGGTGCTGTCTATGACAGCAGTCAAGGACGCCAGCGATGACATAGTAAGCAGGAATTGTAACCTTAAGAATAAATATCTAAATAACTCAGTATTAGGACAGAAAACAGTCACAATGTCGCGACTAAAGGAACACTGTTTTCTCCTCATCCTGTATCATCTGAGTAGAACAGACACAAAAGCGACAATCAAGTGAATAACCGCATCGTCAACGTGCTCATCGATGGGGAGTAAGTCATTTCAATTTCACATTATTTATTTGTTAATACAAATGTACAGCTGTAAAGCAGATGTGAGCTTTCAAAGGTCATGTTTTGCATGAATTTTGGTGCAGTGTTGTGATTTCATGGCATGTGTTATGTATATATTTTTTGGCAGACTGAGAAAGGAAAAATGGAAGAACGTTCAGGTTGGAGACATAATCAAACTGGAGAACAATCAGTTTGTCACAGTGAGTATGGAGATGCTACGATTAAAACCTGATTTATTTTTCTAATTGCCAGGGAACGTTAACTGTGTGCGCGTTACGGCATTTTAGAGTATATTGCTGTTCTATACACATTGATGCTTTAAGTTTATAGCAATAACAACAGGCCAAGACAAAGTCCTCACAAGTGATGGTAAAGATTTTCTCATCTAATTGCATTTAATGCTTTTTTAGGCGGACCTTCTGTTGCTGTCCAGCAGTGAGCCTCTGAATCTGGTCTACGTAGAAACAGCAGAATTAGATGGGTGAGCGCAGTAGTGTGTGTGTGTGTGTGTGTGTGTGTGTGTGTGTGTGTGTGTGTGTGCGTATGGCTGACGGCTGATGTCTCACACTGTCTTGGATTTCCCTTCAGTCGCATCCTTCTCATGTCCTCTTGGTCTCCCCCAGTGAAACCAATCTGAAGGTGAAACAGGCCCTGACTGTAACTGGAGACATGGGAGACAGAATTGAGGCACTGGCTCACTTCAATGGTGAGCTCAAAACGGTTGACATTAAAACAGATGTTTAGAACTGCAATCTGGATTCTTTACTAACTACCATTTTAGGGGGAAAGGGTTATGGTGGATTTTCAGTAAAGACATTGGGACATTGATGGTGCATGAGAAGCT